TATCCATATCGGACACAATAATCACAAATCGCGTCAAAGCACCAAGTAAACGGGCAAAGTGACGATGCGAAAAAGAAAAAACAAATTGTGATGAAAATCAATAAGGAAAAATCAAATTACGTAAATTGTGAAATGTGTATTTTGTGTGCCGTGAGAGAGCGAGAGGGAGCAAAATAACAACAGTATTAACAAAAAGAGAATGGAAATACATACAGTGAGCTCGATGATGAAAACATTTGTGCATTCGCTTGTATGAAAACAACGAGAGAAAAACAACAGAAATTGAAAAACCGAAACGGAAAAAAGAAGTAGAAAAAAATAACAAACAACATAATATAATGCAAAGTGCATCTCGTTATAGTGTATGTGTTTTTTTAGCTTACCATGGTGTTTTTTTTTTTCGATAACTCGCAAGCCTCGCGGGAAAATTAGTTGAAGCCTAATTTTTCCGGTCTGCGAAAAGTGGATGTACTAATTTTCAAACAATATTGTTCATTGAACGACAAGAACCAAAGATGAGCCTCTTTTGTTTATTTGCCCACGAGAGGTTGTCTATCCGAAACTTTCGTTTGAGTCGCGCATGACTTTGATCATTACTCGAACCATTGTATAAATATTTTTAATTCAGCTATTTCAAGATGCAGTCTCATGCCTTTGGTATTGCCTTTGAGTCATACAAGTCATCAGTTTATCTCACTTTTTTGTGCTATCTTTCTCGCTCACTGATTCATGCTCATTCTCTCGGCCTATTTATCTAAACGATGATTAATTATCGAAAGAAAAACTTGTCAATTTTTTTTTCCTGGTAGAGAAGAAAAAATGATGTTGACTTGTGTATATTTTAATTGATCGTAAAAGAAATGCACACATAGATCAAAGCTCTTGCATCGCATTTACTTTTTTGGTAGTGTTTGTTTTCGGATGTGTATGTATGACAAATGCTGTTGTAAAATTGCTAATATAATGCTCTCCAATAACGCAAATCAACAACGCACCTACTCGAAAAAAAAAGTCCGTATTATAAGCCCCCATTAATTTTATTCCCACAGAAAAGATCGAAATGTAATTGCAATAATCATTTAGTTGGCGTTAACCCAGAAAATTTTTTAACGGCATTTTTCATGTGCGGGGCAAACTCTCTTTCTCTCTTGACATTGCACAAAACATGTGTAATCATAATTTTTGGTCGGTTGGGTCTTGTTGTTATTGCATTTTCGTTCATATGCATGTAAAATTTACATGATGATGAATAAAAAGAGCACCGAACCGCAAATCTTTAATAATAAATCATGAAAAATAGAGCTGAAACACACGGCAAGAAGAAAAGATGAGAATGATGTGATTGCCAACTCTTCTCTGTTCTGATTTGTATGAAAAGAGCTTGTGTGTTCGTCTGTTCGCAACGACGAACAATTTTTCATATTTTATTTATTTTGATGCCGCTTTTTTTCTCTCGTTACAATTTATTATTGATTGGCGAGAATCAGTGCGAGTGCTTTGTTTCTCTCTTGCAGCGGGTAATTCAATCGTTATTGCATGAAATGCTACAAAAATAGCATTGTTTTGTGTCGTACCATAATATAAATATATCCACATTTGTCGATTTCAAGCAGACATTTCGTCACCAAATTTTAAAATATTTCATACATTTCTCCTATTTTTTCATTCCGCTTCTGTTTCCAGTCACAACGAAAAAAATATAATCACCTTAAAGGCAGGGCTCTCAAAATGAGATTTCAAATCAAAATCACAAATCAAATAAAATTGATTTGGTTTGAAATTTTTCAAATAAAAACAGTCAAATAATTTGATTTGAAGTGTCACATGTTTCAAATCAAATGATTTGAACATTTTAGTTTGAGAAAATTCAAATCATGTTATTTCATTGTTTTTATTTGAAAATTTTCAAATCAAATGATCTCAAATCAGAAAACCCTGGAGCCAATTGATCATTCACGAAATCTGTATCTTGTGATTGTGCCTTGCTGTCAACCAGAGTAACCATCGTGTCATAAAATATTCAATATCATTGAATGAATGCAAATATAAATGGTGAGATTCGTAAATATCGAGCTGAATATTAATACATGGTCGCGCTAAATGAAACGTGTTTATTTTATTCATATTTTTTCTTCTCAAACAAGCCGCAAAACACCGAACAATTTTTTTTGTTTCGGTTTGTTTCATGCTTCTTAATCCACATTGATTATAAAAGCACGATATTGTTCTATTCTTCTTTGGGCGACAGGTTCTCGCGCACAGCAACTCACCAAGATAAAACTGTTACCGTTGATCTTCCTCCCCTCCCCCTCCGACCAAAAATGAATTGACTTCATACGTATGATATTTACACAAAACATTTCTAAGATAACAATAAGCTTCGGGTTTCCCATGTTGAATGACTTTTTTCTTTCTCTCCCTCTCTCTCGCTCGCCACAAACACGGAATTTCGTAACGAAACCGAACTTAATTATTTTGAATGAAAAATAATTTACCACTTGAAAGTGAAGAGAAAAAAAAACGGTTTTCAATAAGTTTCAATTGAGTTAAGAGTCTTTCAGCAGAAATTCATTTCAAAATAACACAATGAACAAACGAAAGAGAAAAGTAAACATCGAGAATCACATTTTCCGAACAAGTTAGCCAATCAAGCAGTTCGAATAAAGAGCACTTGTGTCTCAAAATGAAATGACGTTGTTTCGAATTTTTACCAAGTTTATATTATATCCAAATTGAGAGCAAACACCAAACTATTATTATTATTTATTGATGATATGAGTGCTTTATTTGGTGAATCGTAAGCTTGAATCATTTAAAAAAATAGGTGTGATGTCAGAGTCTAAAATCAGCCGAGCAATGATCGTTTATTTGTTGTTATTGAAAACAAAGTTACAGAATTAGCCATATTTTTTAATGGTCAAAGGCGATATATTCCACAGAAAATGTGTGTATTTTTATTTTTGGACGACCTATCGCTTCATGATGCAATTATTATCCGAAGCGACAATGAATCATCACAAATTTGAGTCGACATTTAGTTTATTTTGTTTCATTATCGATGGCAATGTAACATTTTAAATGTCTTTTAACAACATCAAAAACTCTAGAAAAGTTGGCCGTAAAAAAGAAAACCTGCCCTCACGTGAACTCTATTTACTTCATTCCAAATGATCTGCATGATGCTGTATGGCATTTGCGACACAAAGTCGGTGATGTGCGAGCATTTGCTAGCTATTTACAAGCGTTATTGAATTTAAGCGTAAAAGCCATTTTAAAAAAAACACATGTTTTTTATTGATATTTGTTCATTTATTCGAGTGATGAGAACGTTTCAATTCAAGGACGACGATTTTCGAATGCTCTTTCTCTCTCTCTCTCTCTCTCTTTTTCTCTCGCGACTCTTTGCTCATGCAAAACAATTAAAATGTATTACGTTTTGGGTGAAAACTTGTTCTCATTGATGATCTCTTAAACGAAAATTCTTCACTCATTTCTGCTTGTTTGTTTGTTCCCATTCACTTAAACACTCGTTCAATATGCATAAAATGTTCATTTGTAATGTCGTTTTTTCTCTCTCTTTAGCTCTCTCTGGGAGAGAGACTCTGTAATTTTTTGTCGATCTCATACAAATAAGACACAAGCCAATGGTTTTAAATATTCACATCTAGAATCACACGTTGAAAAATAATGTCGTTAGAATTAGCACATCGATTTCAATGTAATTCGACTTGAAAAAAAAATCTAATCCATATATATCTCTAGCGCTGGAATAAAAAACAATCACTTTGAATAAAGAAAATCATAGAATTTGATTCGCACATAAGTGACAATGATTTCCTGTGCACCGAAAAATGACGATAATAATTAAAATGAAAAAGTGCGAAGTACAAACTTGCGAAATAGAAATTGAATGAACCAACAATAAAAACGATATTTAAAAAAAAAAACAAAGAAATAATTCAAAAAAGATGTGGTTTCGTCCACGCAGCCAACCAAATGACACGGACCGATCTCGTGTGGCAAGCATACGAAACCGCATTCGATCGAAGAAATCGATTGCTAAATTGGATGCTGATGCTAAAGATTTGGCCACCAAACCAGTCACTGTCACGCCGAATCGTTTTCGCAGAGACAGCGGTGATGGTGGCAGCGGTTATGTTTTACGATCTCAATCGGGCCGTCGACTTTCGTTGCTCAGTGATAACGACGACGATGCTGGTACAAAAGAAAAAAATAAAGTATTACGCACCGATCAAAAGTATAAAAAAAATCGAGTCACAAAAAGTTCTTCGCGAACAAAAATGCCCGATCTTAAAATTGAAAAGCAAAATTCGGGCAAAAATTTAAACAACATCCAAAATAGTGGCACTGGCCAACGAAAAAATTCAACACCATTAATTGATCCAACATCACCGGTCAAAGCGAAGGCAACACGACGAAATACATCATTAAATTTGAACGCTTTATTGCGCTACAAATCGTTCATTAGCGGTTCAACGAAAAAATTAACATCCGACGATTTTGATCGTTTGCGTCGTAAATCACTTGGTGATACTGGTAAAATACGGCGCAAATCAAATCCGGACACCGATAAAAAGCCAGACAAAGAAGAAGAAGAAGTAGAAGCATCATCAAAGAAAAATAACAACCATCATCAGCAATCGCCGTCATTTGAATCGAATGATAAATTTAGTGATGATGATTTTCAATCATGTTCCGAAGATCAAGTCGACCATTCGACCGGATTTTTTTCAATATTAAATAAACCGGATAAAGGATGCGACTTTCTAAGTACAACTTCCAAAAAGACTAAATCTAAAAATAAGAAAAAAGGTTTCTATCTATTGAATATGTCAATACTGAATGAATTTTTGTGAATGTGACAGTTTCTTTTGTCGCCAATTTATTATCTCTGTTTCATATTTAAAAAAATTAAATTATTATAAATTCCATCAACATTTTAATTGATTCGTTTACGTTTTCATTTTCATCATCAATAGATCGTCCTTCACAAGCGTCAGTGGTACGTCAACCATCTGATCGTCGATCGGATCCAAATAATTCACTTAATTCAACCGCACAAAGTAACCATCCCACCACAAATGAATTCAATACATCGCATTCCATTGATAACGAAACAAGCATCCATGAGGTTGACAACGAAAATCGAGACAGGTAATTTGAATGGTTTTTCTTCTTCTTTGATTTTCCTACGCTTCTGTATTGTTCATTCCTATTTGCCTAAAAAAGGGAATGAAAATCGGAAAGATTTTATGACTATTGCATGACTATGCGCGTACGCGAGTCGTTGAACCCAAAGTTTGATTGAATTGTTTGCATTTCTGATTTCTTTTGTCATTCCATTCGTTCGCAGCACAAAATCAAAATCAGCGCCCGTATCAGTGAATCGCTCTGAATCGTATAAAGAGCGACTATCCCACAAGAGAAACCATCGAAATAATCGCCGAAAGATATCCGATCCGAGTCTATCATCGAAATCCAAGTAAGTGCAGTTCATTTTATGCTATATTGTGGTTGAGGGAGAAATTAAATTACCTGCTTTTTTCCTACAAATTTTAAAAACCAAACAAAAAACAAGAGTAAAGAAAAAACCGTATACCTCTGGGTGAAACAGCCATTCAAAATGTACTAGTCATTGGTTTTTTTAAACATATATTTCATTGCGGGGGGAAAAACGATGAAGAAAATAAGTTGTTTATTGGAAATACATTTGTAACCATCAAACAGTTTGTGAAATGAATAGTGAACGCTATAAATTCAATTAGATGCGATCGTTTTTGTGGCCACCGACTACAAGGCGAACGCTGTAACATTAAGAAATACGCGCGCAAAATAATGCCACAATTATTTCCAATTCATTTGTTGGATGTGTTGGTCAGTTATAAAAGTGAGGGTTTATTTTTTTTTTCTCTCGTCTTTGGCATGAATCTAGTTAGCATAAGATATTCGCTGAAGGTTTTTAAACGTTGCGGCCAATGTGTGCGGTCGCAAGTGTGTATAAATGTATAAAGGGCAATTTCCGAGATACTCTGTTACATATGTAATACACATTGCACGTGTACAAATATATGGAGTGTGACGCGGAATTTTTGAATGGAATATGCTGAAATGGATGAATGTGAAAAGAATTTCAAAGTGCGCACATTGTGTATCTACCTATCTATCCAGTTCCAATGAAGTTCAATAAAAAGTTTCTATACATATGTGTGTGTGTGTGTGAGAGAGACACGGTGGCGATAAAAAGCAATGGATAAATTTAAAAAGTTGCAAACGATGGGAAATATGTGTGACGACGAAAGCATAGTGGCCAACCAATGGTCCTTCGGCAAAGACAATAAACCGAATAATCGTACAGAATATGCCGAGGAGAAAAAACATAACGGTTCGGCTTGCGCATATGCCATGGATTGGCGTGAATAAAAAAATCCGCGTGGCAAAACAAAAAAGAATAAAAAAACAACCTAAACGAGGGTATATACGACTTATGCACACAAACTCATTCACTAGCATTCGGGTTAGAAAAATCACACAAAACATCAAATTTAATACTTAGTTGGTTAATGTGCGTACATTGCAACAGAAACTCACAGTTCCAACAGTGACGATAGCGAGGCTTACCAAGAGAACGAAAAAAACGACAACAAACGCACACACACAGCATGAAAAGGCTTTAAGTTCCGACATCCGACAAAAGCAGAAACAGAATCATCGGATCGGTTTTATGTGTTATCGGTTCGGGTTCATGAGCGCAACCGACAAGTCAATCAAATCAATTTCACATAGACAAAGCTACGGTAATAACGCACAAAAAGGCACATTTTACATGTGTTCTTTTTTCCTGTTCGAGGTTCATTTATTGACCGTCAATTTTGATATCGTTCTGTGAATGCGGGGTGAATTTGAAAAATTGTGGAAACAAGTAAATCACGGTGAAAATATTGCAAATTCATGACTGTTGAGTTTATCAAGTATTCTTAATCGGTTTAATTCATTACGGTGGTTTTTATTAACGTGATTTTTGTTGTACAAAAAAAAAACGAGAGTAACGTGAGTTTATAGACAATGGCTAAATGAGTATAATTTTGTGTTTTTCTATCGTTGAAGAAAAAAGTGATGGAATCAATTGAGTCAAGTTCTATTTTGAAACCAAAATCTCACAATAGTGCAACTGCGACCGCATATCTTACTATTATCTATTTTTTTTAAAAAGCAACATTCGATTTTTTCACACAGCCTCGATATATAAAAGTCACATTGACTGCTTCGTGCCAGATGCCTCCATTTGAAATCTCTCTTTTCTACTTCCCTCGCAATTTTTAATGAAACTCAATGAATCGCCAAATAGCTGGTCATTATTCTCGAGCGTTTGTTTTCAATTTGGGTATGGTATTTAATTTAGTGGAAAATCGGCATATTCAGCTTGTTTTTCCGTTTCTTTCTCTTTTTTTTCATAATATGGTTCACCCACGTCCGTTAGCAAATTTTTATTAGTGGTAAATTTACGTTGTAAATTGGTGATCGAGTATGAAAAAAAATGTTTCTTTTTTTAATGTTTTCGTATGAATGTGTTTTTTTTTTGTTGCGCAAAACATTTTCTTTTCCGCAAACAAACAAAAGGAAAAAGCAAAAAAAGTCCATTTTCCTTGTGTGCATCGTGAAGTGATAGTTACAATAATGAACAGAACAAATATCAATTATTGAAATTAGACACAAATCAGAATAACCAAATCCATATGGCATGATTTCGATGTGCATCAGCACATGCAAATTTTGCAACGAATTCAATTTAATGCTAACGCAAGATCAACACTTGACTGCCAACATATAGACCATATAACATCCAAATCCATATAGATAATCTATTTTCTTTTTGTCTGTTTGTTAGTTTTTGATGTTTGATTTTGTGTTTAATTCAAAATCAGATTTATGGATTTTCTCTCACAATCTCATTTCAAATATAGCGTTTTTCAATTAGATGTTTGTAACTTTTTCATCATCAAGCGGAGAATTAATCAATTTTCAATCAAATGAATGGAAATTAACTTATAGAATTTGAGACAAAATTCAAACTTAAAAGCATTGAGAGAACAAAAAAAAACAACCAAAATTTAATTTTATCTTTATTCACATCTGATTTACATCGAAAACATAATAAAAACGAAATAATTATGAAAACAGAACGAAAAGATGAAGGCGAATAAAACACATGAGGCCAGAAATCCATTTTCCTTCCAATTTAATTGCGAAATAAACTCGCTCGGCGCATACGCATGTGAATGTACATAGAAAGAGTTTCGATTTATCTGCTGCATAACAAACGTGATGATGCAAAAAGAGTGTAAAGGCGACGTGCTCTAGCGCCTTATTGAAAATGCGTACACGCTGTAAACTGCGAAGTTTTAATGGATTTTACCGAGATTTTAAATCGAGGATTCTTGATATTCGAACCATTCAAGGCGAAGTTTCTCTTTATCTCGTTCATTTGCTCGCGAAAAACATTCTTAAATTTGCCGGAGCCGCATCTGAACATATGCATCGTGTTTTGCGCTTAATTTTCAAATATAAAACCAAACCGCAAATTTTTCCATCTGCAATTTGTTTTCATTTTCAATTCTAAGCAATTCACCCTGTTTTTCTCTTTCATTCATTCTCATATGTGTTGAAGTGTGTATGTGTGTGCAATAGAAATATATCGCAATTAATTTTTGAATTTAATTGCATCAATGTTTGGGTGTGTTCATCTATAAAATTGATATGAATGGCGAACGTGGTCGTTGAAGATCGATTGCGGATTGCATGTCGGTTGATTGCCGGACATTGTGGGATGATGATGATTGTGTGTTGCTTGCTAAAACAAAACAAAAGTGTGGAAATTTACGCGAATTATTTCTGAATTCGACATTTCGCACAATGGAATATTTCCGACATTCCATCATGAAGGATATATTCGATTAGACAGTTTTATGTGCGACAATACACACAGATGTGCACCATTCATATTGTGATTGTTTGCCATAATGAACCCTCCCCCATCATTGGGTGGAATAGACAGAGTGCGAAATAGATCTATAAACAATACAAATTACCTTAGATAGTTGTTATTTTTCTACTTTCTGCCGTAGTATTCGCTTCGATGAATTATTATTATGTGCACACCTGATTCATTGCGAAAGAAAACAGCATAAAATACATTCGATACAGTTACATTTTGTGTACATCATATCGTTGTTTATTATTAAAAAATGCATATTTTGTATTGTTGCGTTCATGCATCTGACACTTTTGTATACATTTATTGATTTGTAGACAATATACTTCTACTCGATATGATGACATTCATTCGAGTTTTGTTCGAAATGAATCCGTGAAAATTCTGCAAGGATAAAGAGAGCATATTTGGTTGGTGTGTGTGTGTGTGTCAATGTTGTTGTTTCCTTTAACTGTCATTCATCATGATTACGACTGTCATATTTATTCAAGTAAATAACAAAGCATTTTTCATAGTTTGACAACGGCACATGGCACACTATTATTATCATCACCGTCATCAATTTCGTTGTGCACAAAACTCGTGTTTACCTGTGCACAAAACTCGTTACAATTTTTCATATCCAATGGGGGTGGTGATGCGCACCCAATCGTTGCCCCTAATCTAAACGAAGATTGATTTGTATTGTACACTCATTTTTGTTTTCACCTAACACAAATGTGAACAAAAGCAAAACGCACGAAAACAAAATGAAAGTGATATGTTATTCAAAGATATTTTTTTTTTATCACTGAGATCCGATTTTATGTTAAGCGATTCTTCAATACAACTACATTTCATATTTTGATATAGCCATTTTAATCCTTTCTAAATGCATTTCCAGCTGTGATGGTTTTGTTCGTCGTAACTCTTCAATTTTATCAAAGTGTGTGTGACATAAAAAAATGTGTATTAATTTTATAGTGCACTCTGACACTTCAGAGTGTCAGTGCTGCTGCATATTCCATTAGATGGTGTCAGTCGTAATTTTTCACCATCGCAAAACAATAGAAAACACAATTGACAACATTGTCGTGCAAAAAATTCTTGCTCTCATTTTTTTCATCTCCGAATGGAATGAACGATTTTTTTCGAGCACAGCGACAATGGAAACATATTTTAAACAACATAGACGCAAGGAAAATATTTCGAATTCCAAAAAGACTGAACTCGGGGTCATCGTCGAATTCGGCGAGAAACCGGAAATTCGACATTCAATACCGAAAAAAAAAATTGTACATATTGAATACAATGAGAAATTCGTCGTTCTCAATCGAAAGTAATTCACAGGGTATCTTATCAAACTCCCATTATTCGTTGTGTGTCAGCGCTTCGATTATCTCCCATGTCGTGGACTCTGATTGTATGTTGTGTGAGTGCTTCTTTTTTTCTGATTGCTATTGTTGGATTTGTCGTTTCAATTTCTTTCAGGTTTATCGGTTAGAACCTCGATATCAACAAAAGAATAGCTGATTTTCCATATATACACACCCAGCAAAATCAACAAAGACACGACACAAAAAAGAACATGATACACAGAGAGACAATATAAAAAGACAACAACAATCGTCAAGACTACCGCAATTTCATTTAGAGAAGCATACACATATTTTTGCGTGTATAAGCTTTTTTGCCTTTAAACGGAGTTTCGTGTGGCTAAATGGGCTGAAGAGTAGAGAACAAATCGCCAATGTGTAAACAAACATAGAACGACTACATAGCATAGCAGCATTGAATGCGATTCGAATAACAACCGACACACAAAATCTTCGGTGGTGTGATTTGGAATGGTGAACTGCTCGTGTTAGCAGCGGCAGTAATAAGTGATTAAAATTGGGCTTCTCTTCTTCTTCCACTTTTATTTTCAACCAAATATTTTTGGACATTTTGCAAGTATTTTTATACATTCGAAGCATGGCGTCCGTATCGAATTTCGGTTTGTGTCTCCTCATTAAGATGGTCACTGTCATCGACATCATTACCGTTTATCGTAAAAACAAATTAATTTGTGAGCTTTGGTTCCAAAAATAAAACAAAAGTGAAAATTACTGAAACGTGGAAATATTCGACTCTTGTAGAATTTTTTTTGTCAACACCAACAACATTAGTTTGTCTCTTACGGTCTATAAATATATTATCTATGAAATGGCTGCAATTTGAAATATGAACTGAAAGAGTGAATGATAGAAAAAAAAACAAACCATCCGTATAAAAATAGATGTGCCAATGATAAACGGTGATTAAATTAGTGCAAATGATAATTTGTGCAACAATTAAGTATTAAAAATAAGAAAAAAACGAACACTTTTGATTCGAACGAATGGCTGTTCATACAGAGAGACACAAAAGGTTTTTTTACATCTTGTTTTTGTGAGGGCAATAGCCAATTTTTCTCATTTATTTATTTCCATCTAAATTTTCCATAACAGTGAGGATCAACATGTCGATTTGGGCATAAATAATACCAATTTCACGGCAAGTTCGAGTTCTAGTCTCTCATCCAGGTAATTTTTTTTAATTCATTTTTCAAAACACATATTCCTGCGAACGTGCTAATAATGAACATATTTCGTCAATCGTTTTTACAGCCTCGGTAGTAATAGCCCATCATTGGAAGCGGTTAGCACACCGATTGGCCATCAAGTGGCATCGTGTGCGCCGCGTCAATGGGTTGATAGTGAAGACGAGGGTGGCGACCAAGAGGCCGACTGGAGCTCACACGTTAGCCCGGATATTTTACAAACACTTTCCGATACGGAAAAACGACGACAGGAAATTATTAACGGTAAGAATGGTTCCAAACAAAAAAATAACTCACATCGATAAAAAAAAACTGCAAGAAAAATTGCTAATTTTGGTTTTCCTTCAAAAATTCATAAATACACAGAAATTTATCAAACCGAACGAAATCATGTGCGGACACTTCGATTGCTCGAGGGAATATTTATGCGTCCGCTACAAGATTCGTCAGCGCTGACAGTGGAACATTTTAATTTGCTGTTTCCGCCATCGTTGCTTGTGCTCAAAGATTTGCATCGAAATTTTAAACAGCAGCTGGAACAACGACGAGGTGATCAAGAGCCATTGGTTGAAGAAATTGGTGATTTGCTATTATCAATGTTTGATGGTAATGCCGGTGATCAATTGCGTGAGCATGCGGCTTCATTTTGTGCACGACAAAAAATCGCTCTTGAAGCGCTTAAAGAGAAGCGCCGCAAGGATGCAAAACTTCAACAATTGTTGACCGAAGCTGAATCGCATAAAGCTTGTAGACGTTTACAATTGAAAGATCTATTGCCAACTGTATTGCAACGACTTACAAAATATCCATTGTTATTTGAAAGTTTGGCCAAAATATCGATTAAAGTTGCACCGGACAATGAAAAGGAAACACAGGCCATACAACGTGCACGCGAATTATCGAGACGCATTTTGGATCATGTTAATCAAGCGGTGCGAGAAGCTGAAGACACACATACATTGCAAACGATTCAAAAACGCTTGGACAAATCACTCTACGAAAAGGAACCAAATAACGAATTTAAAGTGAGTTGAACATGAACTTATTGTCATTCGAATCGAACATTTAATACATTATTATTTAAATATTTCAGCATTTGGACCTAACACAACATAAACTAATCTACGAAGGTACTCTTACTCATAAGAAGCAGCCACAAGAGCAGCTGCACGGTCTTCTATTTGAAACGATGGTCGTTTTATTGCACAAAAAGGTATATATTCGCATTATTTATTTATTTCATCGTGAATGTTCAACATATTTTTTTTTCATTTCTCACATTTATCCAGGACGATAAATACATACTCAAACACTTGGTGAGCCCTGGTTCAACGGGTGGCGAGAGTAAAAATGAGATTCGTTTCAATCCAATAACAAAAATCAACTTGATTCTAGTTCGTCAATCGGCTGTGGAAAAGAATTCCTTTTATTTAATCAATACGAATGTAACGCAAATGTTAGAGTTAACCGCTCCCAGCGCTTTAGAGTGCAAAACGTAAGCGCATTAAATCATATATTTTTTTTTTTTTTTGCTTTTTCTGAAGAAAACCATAAATTATTTATCGGTATTATTGTAGGTGGTTTAATCACATATCAGCCGCTGCCGAGGCGTATAAACAACGAACAAAGAGTAATCATGACATAACACCAGTCGAAGATCCATCCAGTGTTACGATACCATCTAGTGCAACGACAAAAGAAACAGCCGCTGATCATGAATTTGTCACGAGTGGCACAACTAGTGGATTAACTGCATCTAATTCAATTGCAACTGCCGATACCGCACACAATCAATCTCTGGACGGACAAAAAGACACCGCTCGACATAACACGAGCAACGATGGTGAAGCATTCGACCGTAAGTTTTGAAGCGATTTGATTTTTTAATAATGAACCGATATGATTAAGAAAAATGATCAATTTTTCTCTAGGTGAACATGATTATATTAATATAAATGGAAGTGGTGCCAGAGCAACAGCCAAATCTGAAGAGGATGTGTGCGACAAAGCCAATCGGAAATCTGAATTGTTTTCCAATAATTCAAATAATACGAGGACATTAACACAGCAATCATCGTTAGTGGCACCGAGTGAGGTTCATATTAGCATTAGTCCAGCACTTACGGCTGAGCCTGTTCTAACACCAAATGGTTAGTGTTGTTAAAACATCTTAAAATGCAGACCAAAAACGCTCACAATCTAAATGAATTTATCCAATCTATCATGTTTATTCCACGTAGAACGACTGAGACGCCTGGATGAATCGATAAGACTCACTTTGTCCGAAAAGCAAAAAATCGTTTGTGATATATTTAGAGTACCGAATGAGCATTTTTCAGCGATTGCAGATATAGCTGGTCAACCAGAGGCTCCTAAGGTATGTCTCTCTACATTTGATTCACTTTCTAAGACAATTTAAAAAAATAAATGGCGCTAATTTGTCAAAAAAAAAAAACAATTTTTCAACAGGAGCCATCGGATTTATTATTGGCTGCATTTGCTCAAGTTCAATCGCTAACCGAAGCATTGAATGAGTATATAAAAATTCCACAAATTCAACCGACTGAGATGCTGGTGAATTCAACGTCTCTGTGTGATGATTGTTTCAAAAATGCGGAAAAACAATGTGAAGAGCAGCAAACAAAAACAGTATCGGTACCGTTAGCTCCAATGCCACCGTTGCCTCAATCGCAAAACAATAGCACAAGCTGCAGTAATAATAGTCAATCGGCATCAACTGTGATTAATAATAAATTAACCGAAAGTACGACGTCAATTGATGCGGTAAGCATTTTGCCCGATGACGATGGCTATTGTGAAATTGATGAAATCCGATTACCGGCAATCACAAAATCACCATCGATCAAAATCAATGACCCGCGGCGACAATCGGCGGCTGCTCCACTCCCACCGGAAGCAATCGATGAAACAACCAGCAACAAAAAAACGGACTCGTTGAATGATACACAAGCACCACCACCACCGCCTCCACCAAATAAAACATCAGCAAATGGCAGCGGTACGAAATCAAAGCATAACAATCAAGATACAACGATAAATGAACAAATATCGAATGCATCAAGTAATTCAGCATCCACTACAACCAACACCAATACAATTGTATTAAATAAGGCCAGCGGTTCAGATACGGAGCATATCGAAGTAAATTATGCATACGATTCGTTGACACAACCATTGGCCGAACTGAATTTGAACAGTGAAGCGCAGGCAAAATTAAATAATGGTGCCAATGCCATCATCAGTAGCAGCAAAATATTAAAAACGACGACATGCGACAGTTTTTGTTTGCCACCCGAAACCAATATTGTTGGCTTACAACATTCTGTACCATCGATACCCTGCCATCTCATATCAGCCTATGTGGCATCACTAAATTTACACATTTCACAATTATTGGTAAGAATTCAAAAGTTCATTTTTTCCCATCTCTATCACATATTTTCTTCAAAATAATTTCAACCAATTTTTTTTTCTATTTTATATGAAATTTCAGCCGAAATTGAATGAACGTGATATCGAACGTGAAAAATTACGAAAAGAGAATCAATTGTTGCGTGATCGACTGAATTCAATGCATGAACGGGAGCAATCCACGCAATCGGAAAACTAAGAACAGTTTGCCTGATTTTGGATTTTTTTTTTTTTTGAAATTGGCAATGGCATTAAAAGATAAATAACAACTAGCGACTTAACGAGAAATTGAAGAAAAAAAAAGAAGAAATTTATCCAAAAAAACGCAGATAGATAGAGATAATTGTGAAAAAAAGAGGAATTGTTGCCTAAGTTTACAGTTTACATAATCATTTTTTGAGAGAATCAAATCGAAATGACCAATTTTTTTAGTCTAGCTGTCATAATTTGTGTGTAAAGTGTTTTAACTTTGCCATGCCGGCCTTTTTTTGTAAAATGTATTTGTAATTTAAAAAAAAAGAAGAAGAAGAAAAGAACAAGATTTGAGCTACTATATTGTGCCACCAAATTGAGATCTAGAAATAAAACAGAGAGTTCGTCTGTACGATTTTTTGATTGTTGTCAAATCTCGCTCATTCTCTCATTATCTCGCCCTCTCGGACAGCAATTTATTTTTGAAGAGAATATAATTTTACATGTTTTCTTTATTGAATTGATGATTGTTCATTTGTTTGCGGTATTCATTTATACATTTCACATAATATAATTGTTAAGATTTTACGATGCACACACACACGTGTGCGAGAAAATTGTACGATTTTCAGTAATCGTTCGGTTTTAGCAGGTTCGCTATAGAATTTTTTCTCTGTCAATTGCATTGATCGCGAGTTAGGTTGTAATTTTTTCTTTTGCTTGCACTTGTTGTGTTGAGAACAAAATAATGGCAATCGCAAATGCGATTCGTTTCTTTTGAATGACGTTAATTTACAAACGGCAAAAACACAAAGTGAAATACAACTTATGAACTCTTGAAAACAGAAGAGGAAAAAAAACAAGTAAAATTACATCCAAATCAAAGTGAGAGAAATTAACGTGTATATAATCAGCAATGCATATAATCGTACTATATAACCACAATTCATAATAGAAGACATATGATACACATATACTGTATTTTCATTTAAATCTTTATGCTATTTTTGTTTTCCTTCAATTTTTTTTTTTCATTCGACATCGAATGAATAGTAATGTGTAAATTAAAAGTTTTGTTAATTACGACACCCTCCCCACTCTCCTTTCAATTGAACGATAAAGAAATAAATGGAAAAAAAGATAGCGAGAACAACTAGTTTCGAACATGTATACTTGAATAACGTACACTTTGAAATAGACGTAAATGATATGTTAGACGAGAAGTTTATGAAAACCAATACACATAGATAATATAACTTGGCAAACGATAAAAAAAGAAACAATTTTTGTTTTTGCTTTTGTAAGACAACAGCCAAACAAGAGCAATTTTAGTTTAAACGATTGAATGAAATTATGGTTTTTCTTTGTTTATTGATTTTGAAAGAAGAATAGAATAAGAAATGAGGAAACAAATGCATAATCAAGAGGAAACACATAAGTAGCAGTTTAAAAACCGGTATAGCAAAATAGATAACGCCTTTGCTTTCTTCCATTGTGTTTAAATGATTTGTTTTTCTTGGCGTTTTGCATTTGAAGGTTTCGTATTTAAGGGTAACAAATAATTTATGGTTTTGGGGCGAATCAAAAATCTTAGGAATAACTGTTACTAATAAACCTATTACTTTTCTAGTAGTGTGAAGCGAGTAGAAGTAGCAAATAACCAACTGAAAATGAATCTTATTGAATTGCCTTTTCATTATTAATGAGTGTACTGATCCCATTTATGCATATAACTCATTGAAAACTTTTCGTCTCAGAATATGTATGAAAAACATTTCATATTTTGTAATATGAAGAGTGTATTGCGTATGGAAGAATACTTCAATTAAAACTATGTATTCACGGTATACATATGAATGAAAACAAAAGAGCATACAAAAAAAAAATCATGTTGCTCTTTTATTCGGGATTTGAGCTCACTTTAATCCTCACCCGTTCATATGATGGATATAATGGGATCAATTTCATAATCACAGATTATAAGGGGATATGTTTTTCCTTTCAAAATCACACAGAACGAAAAATTTTCTGAGTTATTCTACTCCCAATCTAATAAAGATCGAAAAAAATGAGCGAAATTCTGAATCAATTAACACAAACCAGATGCTTGAAGATCAAAAAATTTCATTCATTTTAATGCTAAGCTATAGGAAAAAGTGTATTGTGTAATCATAAAATAGGGTGGACGGAATCTTTCGATTCATTCGAGTATAGGTAATTCTTAAATCGCCAAGTGAGAGAAAATGTGGAAAATCAATACAAAAAAAACAAACCTATATATATATATATATTTTGTAGGCATTAATTGAGTATTTGTTCGACATATTTTGTCCCTAATTTAATAAATGCAGAGTATAGTTGATACAATTTGTTAAGGGTCAAAAAATGTAATGGCATAACTGAAACTTCAACAAATGAACAAAAAAAATGACCTTTTCCACGAAAATGGTTATGATCGAATTTGGATTCACAATTTTCTATCAAGACACACATGCAATTACATTAGCTTTATTTAGTCCGATTATTCCATTTTACTGGCGATAGTAGCTTTCTGTTTACCTTCCGATTTATTTACAACATCGTTTAATTTTCTTTTTTAAATTTGGCTACAAATATTCACGGTTACATTTATTTGTTTTCCATTCTTCCAATTCCTTTTAAAACAAAATTTAAATTAGCATATAATTATATTATTTTTTTGTGAGTATTATTATAAGGTTTAAGAGGTGTTTAGATGTTTAAAAAATATCACACTTCTTCGCCTTTCACTCGTAGATCTATAACAACTATGTTATACAAATAATAAAATGCGTTATAAATAAAAAAAAAAAAACAACAAAAACTTTTAAGCCAAAATTATTTACGTGTTTTACTTTATTTGCGTCAAAAATTGAATTTTTCGTTTTTGACTTTTTAAGGCATTTGACATTGGGAACATATCAAACATATGGTAAGAATTTCCAGCTCAAACTCAATAACAACATCATACGAAAGCATGGGAAATCATCGTATGATGTTCGAAAAACGCTGTCGCAATTGATTGATAGTGTTATCTTTTTAAATGCGATGGACATTTTTTGAACATCATACTAAGCTTGCTCATGCCTTGACATTGGACCTAATATGTTTTTGTTGACTCAGCAATGCTGAATATCTTCACTGATGTATGCACGTCGAAGATCATTAAATAGATATTCAGCTCGTTCCAGAAATGTTTCCATACTATTTCTGTCTGATTGTAAATCCAGTATGATTTTGTTCGTCTCTGGTTTCTGTTTTAGTGTATTTATGAGTTGCGATCACCACTGGAGCCAGATTTAGGTGTAAACAGCATGCCTTCCGCTTGTCAGCAAAAAAGTTTGATAATTCTCGTGGAATTATTGTCGAATATTTTCACAGATATGGATATTTATTTTGTATCAAGATTTTTCACCTGATACAGGCCCAACGGACGAACAATTCATCCATTTTCACAAGACACTGACACGGACTAAGTTGACAGACACGTAAGAGTGTTTTTTCGTATCAGCTTCGAATGAAAAAAATTGGAAAAATCACTTTTATATTTACACAAATAAACGATAAACGTCTCTAAAGATAAGGAGTTCACCAAAAACGAAATTTTGTTTCTTCTGGATAAGTGTGATTAATTGAACCAAAGAACACATGTCAATGAAATAGTTTTTTTTCTATTATAACAATTTCGATTGATCAAAGATTTAACACAAAATATTAATAATTTTGAACAGAGTAAGATTCAGTGACAGGCTGAATTGAAAAAATGGCCAAAACGTATTTTTATTTCGTTTTATGTTACAAAATTTAAAAAAAAAATAAAACTAGCAGAAACTTAACAGTTTGTTGATTTTTTGTCATCAAAAAAGAGTATCGAAGTGTATGTCTTGATTGTGCCAAAATGGCTGCATTACAAATTGTTGTTGTTATTTGAAAGAAAAATTAACAAAATATTTGTTTACTGTGTCTAAAAATGAGGTTTTCTCTTCGGTCTGCTTTAGTTTTTCTTAATTTTTTTGTTAATTAAAATCGATAGGTTTTCGTTTTGTTTTAAAAAAAAATTATGTATGATCAAATCAAAGTGGCTCGAATTACGAATAGATCATATAGACGGAATCGATTGTTCGTTCTTCGTTGTATTTCTTCAAGTCAAGTGAAGATTTTCATTTTATTGAGCCACACAATTTGCGTTGAAAATTTCGATCCAATAACCGTCTGGGTCTTTAATAAAAGCCAATCCTTTCATTCGGCCTTCGTTTGGCCGCTTCACAAATGTAACACCAAGTTTTTCGAAGCGTTCACAAGCGGCATCAACGTCCGGTACCATAATTCCAATATGTCCAAAACCTCTCGGATCACTATTTCCGTCGTGATATTTTTGGTCTGGGTTTGATTCAGTGCCCCAATTGCTACACACAAACATATTGAAAATGTGACATTTTTATTTAAAAACGAAAAGAGTGAGATTACGCTTACTGTGTCAATTCAACCGTTGCTTTTCGTGACATGGCCCATTTTGTGCGTTCGCCATTATTTGCGGTTGGTACATCGGCTGGATCTTCATAGCCCAAAAAGTATAGTGAAAATTTCGATTCAGGAAAGTCCAATTTTTGTAGTAATGTCATTCCCAAAACGCCGGTATAAAATGGCAACGAGGCGCGTGGATCTTTGATTCGGTACATTGTTTGTTGGAATAGAAAATCCTAAAAATATCATGAACAAAATTAGAATAATAAATAAACATTTTTGACGTAAAGCAATGACATTACAAATTGCAAAAATGTAAATAAATCAATTCACCTTTGTAGCGGGATCAACCGGTTTGCATAGTTCAGCAACATCGGAGTTTGATAAGCCTGAAATTTCTGCCATGGTCACAATTTACAAATTGGTTTCTATAAACAAAGAAAAGCAAAACGATTTTTTTTTTTTGAAGTAAAAGAAAACTCGAAAATTAACAATTAGTAGACAAAACCAATTGTTTTTATCAAAGATTTGTTGGACAATGTTCTTTTTCACTTATATGAAGTGCAAAAATATAAAATTACGTATAAACAAGTCAATTTGGTGGAAAAGACTATAAAAAGCCATCTGTCATTTGAACAACTACACAACTACACATTTAGGTGTCGCCACATATAAATTCTCAATTATTGAATTTAGAACATTAGTTTCTAACAAATTGAGAAGAAAAAAAACATTGGCTATAAAATTGGATGATCATATTATATTGGAATGATTATGTCATCATGTCGAAAAGTGCATGTAAAAACCTTGAATAATTTTCAAAGTACTCACGATGTTAGAAATAATGTCTGCAATCGAAACAAAGATAAAAATGTTAGTAATTGCATTTAAAATGTCGATGGTATGATAAGCCTTTATTCTCTTATTATTAACATTATATTATTATCTTATCGTTAACATTCAGAATTTTTTTATATAAAAATGTTCAGTAAATTATTCAACACAAATTTATTGAAGCCAGACCAGAATGTGAAATTCGGTCGAATGAATGTGATCATCGCATTTTGTTTACATACAAGACTCTTTGATGTATTGGAAATACATCAAGTGACTTATTAGTATATGCCCCAGTAAATATTCATGACTCCGTGGCGCAACGGTAGCGCGTCTGACTCCAGATCAGAAGGTTGCGTGTTCAAATCACGTCGGGGTCATTTCGTCTTTTTTTTATTCACCATCCATCTGAGATGTGACACACACTTGACACTTGTATTATTTATTCAAAGCATTATTTTTTGGATATTTTATTTAATATTCTCGAAATTTTTTAAATCAAAGTTAATATGGATTCAGAAAATGTCTTTTTTTAAATGATAATTTTGAATAATAATTTTAATTAAATAGAAAAAAAATAACATTTTAAACAATCGGACATCATAAGTCCGATGATAAAAAAAAGTCTCAAATCAGTAGTACTGTTTCAGTACAAAACCTGGAAAAAATATAAAGACAAATGAAAATAATAAGAACCTGAATTTTTTTTAAAAAATATTGCACGTTTATTCTTGTCCGATAATATCTTCTACATCAATATTTGAAAAAGAAAATAAAAAAAAGTAAAAAAAAGACGACATGACCCCGACGTGATTTGAACACGCAACCTTCTGATCTGGAGTCAGACGCGCTACCGTTGCGCCACGGAGTCATACATACTTGAATGAACAAGTGCTTATATAGACTGAGTGAATTTCGAAAGCACGTGTCTGATGTCTCTGTGTATCTTGCCATAGTTCGAGTTTCTGTTATTCATTTAATTCAATTTACAACTTTAAAACCCCTATGAATTTGAAATGAAGAAATAAAATTAGACCACTGATTGATGGCCCATACACGACGCATGTAAAATTCATTTAAATTCTTGAAATTTTATTCTAATATGACAATCTAATTATAACTCATGACACTAACAAGGGAATGAATCATAATGCTCTAACAATGTATGTGAGATTTCGCATTGATATTGCAATGGTCGTTCACTTATTCAAATTGAGTGTGTCATCTCTGCATGAGAAAAAAAAATATCTCGCCAATTTATTCAAATAAAAAACAAACGTCTTTTTCATCGATGAAATAATTTAAAACAATTTATGATAAAGCAGTTATGAATTTGACGACGAAGATAAATCAATTACACAATTCTGATATTTCAAGAGAAAAATCAAGAGACAATTCAAGAGAAAGAAAAAAACATCATAAGAACGAAAACGTGCTCTAATCGCTATGTTCGGCGGCTTTGTTAGAGAAAAGGAAAGTTATTCAAGTGGCCTCAGGCCTTGAGCGAAATTTTATCTACGGCAATATACCGTGTAATCAGGTCAAGTAACGAACGTTGTTTTTACCATATTCAAAATAACATTAAAGAAATGTCTGAAAAGAAAGAAAAAAACAAATAAAGTGCTTAGTGCAGCTAAATAAAGTCAAGTACGGCGATTCACGATTATTAATATCAGGCGCCAAAAAAAAATGTTTGTTTTGTTTTTATAACATTATCGCCGGTGTTACTTTATTATTATCGGTTGACCTTGAAATTAATTTTTATTTTCGCCCAAAAAAATAAATCGAATAAAAGCGAATGTTTTTCGAATTGGTAGAATGACACAAAAACACTCTCAACAAATCAATAAAAAACCTGAAATCGAAATCAATAGAAGTTGAAAAAAATAAAAATGAAAGAAAAATGCATTCATTTAAAGTTTTATTTTTTTTTCAAATATTTTGTTTCTCTCACTTTTTATTCTTAAATGTTTTCTGTTTGTTGTTGTTGTTGTTTTTTCTTCTTCTTCTTCTAGTTTTTGTTTTTAAAAATAATTTAATGTTTAATTTAATGTGGTAGATTATTCAGATTTTTAGTTTCCCTCTCTCACGTAAACGATTATATAATAATTAATAATAATAAATGTGATCATCATATGTTTACTGATTTTTTGCCAGCTGCTTTCATCGTATTTTTCATTTCAGAAAAACAATTGTTGAAAAAATAATTGATGAAAAATAAAACAAAACAAAGAATAATATATATATATGTATATAAATCGTTTTACAATGGATTTTATGCGTAATTCGCATTTCAATGGACAAATGTACAGAGAGGGTTCTCCTTTATTCTTTTCAACACACGAAGTATATTATGTATTTAATATAAGGTATAAAGAAATCGTCATCATTTTCTTACAGTGACAATTTGGTAGTGTACAAATGTGGGCAATATATTCGTCCCGTTTTGTCTTCTCATTCGCTATATCGTTTTTTTTTTTCATTTTGCTTTAGAACATGTATTGAGAATTTATTACACAAGGCGCGATACTCTTAAAAATAAAGTATTGTGTAAAGGACATTAATAACAATTAATTTTTTTCTCCATCTGTCATTTTATGCGATTGAAATATGTCCAAATTTAAATTTGAATCAATTTCCAAAAATGAACTAATTCAATTAGTCGTTATGGTTTTTGAGCTGTGTGAACAGCGACAGCGTCAATGACTCAATGCAATACAAAAAAAAAACTAAATTTCATATTCCCTTTCCTCCAGTTAAAATCTAATGAAAAAAATTGCTGTTTAATTTGTTCTTTCTTTCCATCAAATTGTTATCACCTAAATATCTGAATATACTGTTTTTGTTGCGTATTTTAGATATTATTTTGAATTATCTTGCGCGAAAATTTAACTCTCATGTTGTGTGTGTATGTGTTTGTTTGCTTTGTAATGCCGTCGAATATGTTTGCTTTGTAAATTTCTTTTTCTCTCTCTTCACTCTTTCAAATAGATGAATCCCAAGTGCATCTGTCGTGAATACGGTGAAAATCCACCCAAAAAAATATAGGTGCGTAATGTAGCTTTAAAAGCTGTCAATTGTTTAATTCTGTATATATAAGTTTATAAAGCTCTTCGAACTCATCTAAATGTACACGATGCTTTTGGCAACTTCACCGAAAGAAAAAAAAATATTTTTTTTGCCGCTTTTTGTTTTGCCACCGAAATAATTTCTATCTCTGCTTGACTCCTTCACATTTTAGACAATTTTTTTTGTTTTGTTTTCAATTTTATTTTCTCTTGAAAAGAATGGTCTGCGCTTGGTATGTGAGTTGTTTTTATTGCTCCTTGAATTTATCGGATTTTCCGGCGAGAAGTGACATTCGGGCGGTGACACCATTTGACGCATCTCGTGTGAGTTTTGTTTGATGTACGGCATCCGAATCGGTTTGTACTTGTTGTTGTCGATTGCCGCGCACCGTATTGTTGAATGCATGCTTTCCTTTTCGTGCATTTGGTGACAAATATGTAATGTAGAAGAATCGAGCAAATAATACAAAGTAACTAAAATACATGGCAATGGATAGTTTTATGTTGATTGGTGAAATGTTGCAGGCCGACGGGTGCATTGTTTGCAAATAATCATATGCCCACAAATTAATTGTACAGCCAACAATCATTTGTGTCAATTGCATTGCTGTAATCACCATTGAAATAAAACGTGGCGGCTTATAGCCCATCGCACGCAATGCATAATACGAATACATAACGGAATGTACGCAGTAATTCATAACAATAAACCATCGGGCCGATGATGTGTATTCTGTGTACGAGAACCATGAGTAAATTAGCACAGTGATGTGATGATACCAATGCAAGAAGATTAACGGTTGTTTTCGCAACACAATGAATATGGTGTCGCCCAATTCGGGTAATTTCGATAAAACAAATAGCCACGTCCAAAATCCGCACACTCGATCTTGTTCGATGTAACTAAACATTCAGAGAGAATAAGACGTGATTAGAAAAAAAGAAGAAAATCATTCGAACGACGACGTCATCGCATTAAAGCGATTTAATCGAATATTCGGGTTATCGATCTGTTGAAATTTTCGAAAAAGTTGTCACTTCCGCAACAATGCATTTATATTATCTATTTCTTTTCTTTTGATAATTCAGAGGAGCTAAGTTCAGTGAACCGTGTGTATCTATTTTTAAAATTCTAATGTCGGTTGTTTTTCTGTTCAATTTCCATTATAAGTGACAACATAAAAATCGTCCCAAGAAAATTTATTTTGTTTTTTAAAATGTTGAGAATATTCTCGACTGGATAACAGACCGGTTTGAATTGTAGACACCAATCGAAAAAGATACTCTCGCAACGACGCGTGCACAAAATTTAAAAAGATATGAGATAATAAATGCGTTGCGGTTTTAACAATCTTCAGTTTACGTCATAACAACAACAGCAAAATTGAAGATGACGGGAAAAAAATAGAGAGAGAGAAAAAGTTGTACTAACCTTGGATCACAAACTGAATGGAATAGCCCATAATGACGTAGAACATGAATTAACTCTGGTGCAGTTCGACTAGCGCCGATAATACTAAATATTGCCAATGCTGAATTCCATATTACAAGTGGACCGCGTAATTCGAATCTATATGTGCGTAAGCAATTTAAATGCAGCACAAAAATAAACAAATATAAAAATAAAAACCAAAAATTAAAATATTCCAGTAATAGTACACAGTTAATGGCAAATGAAGATTTCCATATGAAATAATATAAATGGATTTTTTTTTATCTCTTGAATGCGCTTGTCATTTTTGATTCATCCATGCATTGATGATTCATTAAAAGTACAAATTGGTTGTAAGAAAAAGTTGACCAAAAAATAATATAAATTACGTTGTTTTTCGCGCAATTCATATGCTTTGACAAATTAAAGATAATTTCGCATGAAAAATAATTGCCAATTGTTGATTTGTTGGAGATTCTATTCTTTTCAATGAGCTTTGACTATACAACTTTGACTTGTATTTCTGTAATGATGCGATTGATTGCTAAATTGTATTCAATCTATTGTTTTCATCATTATTGTTGATTAATAAATTAATATACTCAATTTATTACGAAACATTAAACTGCTTATTCTCGATGCATCTCCGACTAAACTTTCTTCCGCATTGAAATGTATGCTTCTGAAACAGCGTGCATCCTCTTGATAACACATAATCATTTTTCCGTTGCAATTATTATCATTGGTATAATGATGTCGTCACTAACACCAACAGCCTGTATTTAAAACAATGAACGGCAATCGAAGGCAACGAAAAAAAACTATGTATGATGACGTTGAGTAATTAATAAATTAATAAATTTTCATGTAATCAAGAATCGCGTTTTTTTTTAATTCAAAAAATTTATTCCACGGAATAGAGTATTATCATAAAAATCGAATAACAAACAACATTCGTTTGACGTGTCACGACACGATGAACTTCCGAAATCGTGCGCGCAATTTTTTTTTTCAATTCTTTTTGTTTTGTTTAATGGCGTAGACAAAATTAGTTTTCTCTGTTTATGGATTGTTGTTGAGCTCGTTGTCTAGCTCATCTTCATTAGACAAATTCCACATTTTAAAATTGCTTAAATACATTTTGGTAATCAGGTTTCTCTTTTATGGTTTGACGTTTGTCTTGTTTTGGGTTTCATCGTTTTGTTTTTTTTTTCTGACTTTGCACAATTTCAAAATGAATTGGCACAGACACACAATCGCTTATACAATACATATTAGATTGTTTTCTATAAATTTGTAATTATGGCTTTTGTGTGATTTTATTAGTGCGACAATCCAAGGAAGATATGTTCTGAATGCGAGTTTTTCGGACTGACATGTCAATAAACATTTGACAATAACAAAGGAAGATTTTCAGATAGACTCTGTGTGAGGAAAATGTTTATAAACAGATAGGTTAAAACAAAGTCAATTTGGTGATGATTTGTTTATAATATGAAGAGAAATAATCCATTTAGATTAATGTTTGCTTTCTTAATCACATCGCAAAATAAATTTGGGTAATAATTGGGAATGTTGTGAAAATAAATGGTTTTATTTCCCAATAACCAATTCAGCTAATCATTTTTCGTAAAACGTCATTAGCTTTTGAATAGCAAAACGTAAACCTGTATGAAAAAGAGAAAACGCTTAATTTGCATTCATATTTATGTGGCTATTGCCTGCAATTAATCACTTTGAAGCGATTCTATGGTTGGCGATTTACTTGAATCATATTTATACAGCAAAATCATTCTGAAACAATGTAAACAAGTGATTGTGTGAATTTTGCTTGAAAGAATCACTCAAATTAAAACAATTTAAACTATACAAGCTGTATACGCATGTGGCTCAAACGCTTGTAGTTTTTTCTTCTTCAAAGATTGCCATGTTGTAAACTATGAAATAGAAAAATGAGCAAATAAATTGTGATTGTGTATCCACATACGACGTATCGTATATTATCATCGTCTGATTTCATTTTGTTCTTTTTCAATTCTTCTACAATCTTGAAAACACTTTGTTGTGTTTGTTTTTATCTGTTTAACGAACAAAAAAAACGATTTATTATAAGTGAATTTGATTCGTTTGTTTTGCTTTCGAAAAGAAAATGGAAATCAATGTCATTTATCTAATTTCGCAAAGTGTTCATTTTGAGTCGGCTACCTGTTGAAAGTGTAGACGTACACTGCATGTAAATTATTTTGAAACAATAAAAAAGCGTATCGTTTGGATTCTAATACAGAGCAATGTGTGTTTTGATTTACAATTTAGCCGTGCACTTTTTTCCCGAATATATCCACATACACACATGCGATTGATCGAATTACAATTGACGGCCTAAGAAGAAAACAATAACATACAGAATATTCTGCAAAAAGTCGAATACAAATTTATGTGAGCAAAAACCAAATATACAAACAGACAGCGCAAAGGTAAAACAGCCTACTTACATAAGAAACACATGTAAGTAGGCTGTTTTACTTTTGCGCTGTCTGTTTGTATATTTGGTTTTTGCTCACATAAATTTGTATTCGACTTTTTGCAGAATATTCTGTATGTTATTGTTTTCTTCTTAGGCCGTCAATTTTGACCAATGTCAAAAAGTCGTATGACTTTTGCTGTTACACACACACACACAGTCAAAATATTCAAAGAGATCAGTCGATTGTGACGATACAAAAAAGATATGTATGTATAAATCGGACACTAAAATCATAGACAGTGAAACGTAGAGGTGTATCAAATCCGCATCGGATGCTGCTGTCTTTTTTTACTTCTAATATCCATACGTTTGTCGGTACACATACACTCGTTCGATGTCATATGTAGGAAGTGTTTAAGCGGATGACAAAAATTCATCACATAGAAGGCATCGCTGCCAAAAATATGATCACCGACACCACGCGCAGCAAAAGAGATTTGTATTTTTTTTTAACAAAACGGGTTTTTGTCAGCGCATCAAAAGTACTTTCTTGTCAAATATTTCCGTTTCATTTTTGGTTGTTTGGTTTTGTTGCTCTTCTTGTCACTCTTTGTCACAAGTGATCACTTCCTTAGGCTCGCGCACATTTTAGGTCACGACATTTATGTAATCAATTTTGCGATTGACCATAAACTATCATATTTTTATAGTATGTTTTGTGTAAAAAAAAACAAAATCATGCGTAAATCGATGTGTTTTTTTGTCACACACGCAAATATTTAATATTTTTGTGAAATGTTGAGTGTCGTTGATTTGCTGTTTTCTTTTGCTTGTTTTGTTTACGAGATAAATTAGCAATTTTGTCGATGCAATCAAACTATATATAAATATTTTAAATTGCGTATATGAGACGCCCGACACGTGCGCGCTAATCCTTTCAAAGTTCTTGTATCACAATTTTGTAGCAATCAAAATTTGCATCTCTCTTCGCTCTGATTAAGAATTGTAAAATAAAAAATCCCAGATGTTGGGTTGGGCTCATTTTTTCACTCACCTAGGCCTATTTTGCATCCAAAATTGTCCGCCAAAAATGATAAGCATGTAAACACCACAATAATAAAACACCCATGTCCAATTTTTGATCATCCATTTGCGCGTATCTTGATGTATGAATTCGCTCTCGAAATCGAAAACGTACGAATAATTTGGCGTCACTTCCATTGTTTCTATGTATAGCTACTTTGATTAAATCCTAAAAAAATTTATTGGCTAACTGTGTTGGCTTTGATTTTTGTGTTGTTGGTGCGTATGTGTATGGTATGCGTATCCTAGTCGATGTCCCTCTTGTTATGATCGTTGCGCGATGAAAATAAACTGCAAATAATCAAAAGAAAATATGATGCGATTAGCGATCAAAAATAAAGAAAACAAACAAATTGTCATTCAATGCTTAAATGAAGATCAATAAAAAAAACAACCATTTATCGATTTCAATAAATTTGCTGGATTACTACTGAAAGTAAGAACACAGATTCGAACACAGAATAAGGAGACAAGTGTATATCATATGAGCTTTGGATCAATAATCGATAGAAAAGACGATTATTTGAGTCCATTGTCGATTTTTGGTCTTGAATAATTGAGCACAAAGGTGTTTACTATAAAAATAACTTTCGATGGTTGTGATAGGACCTTTTCAACACACGACAATAGCAACAATTATTGATGAGTTACATATACATATGCATGTGTACATATATCATGTTCTAAAGCTAATATTTATTATTTAGTCTTTAAAAGCCAAATTATATCGGAGTGCTGCTCAAGTCAGACTGGAAATAACAAGAGAAAATGAACTTTGATATGTAACAAATTTCAAAAATAACGATTGCAGAGAAAATGCGTCATTTGCTTATATTTATTAATATTCGAATGTATTCAATGAAATAAATTGCTTAAACAAAAAAAAAACGAGCGATTTAATCAAGACAATTTTAACATGCACATATTCAAGCCTTATTTAACGGCCATTGAAAGCACGTGATCGCAAACAGACACGAAAATCGATTTTCCACTGTAATTGTGAGTGCACAAAAAAGATCTAATGGTTACAGGTCAACACACTACATATTGAACGAAAAAAAATAATGTCATAAATTGCATGCCAACGCTACTCACACGCAATTTGTACAGCAAATGAAATTGTGTTAGCGGTGATATTTGCATGTCCCGTTCGTTATTTTATAAAAAATTGTTCTACTTTTCGACTTCGACTTTTTTTTAAATACGTATATTTACGACGTGGTTGTCAAACAATGAAATGTGATTTCAATTCTTGCAATAACCTCTTGAATGGTCAAATGGTACAATGGTTATTGACATCTCTTCAAATATGTTTTTGTGTTGCACATCATTGTTCCTTTTACTTGAATGCGGGGGTATCAATGGAATAAAACAAACCACACACTTTCTCATTTTCAAGCCATAATCCAACATCGAATGTTTCGAATCGGTTGATGTGATTAATCCACGGAATTTTTCATCATATAAGTAGGTATATACCATACACTTTGATTTGTGTGTAATCAGCGCATTTGTGGATGAGAGTGATGTATCTTATTTCGTAAATTTTGATAAATAATATTATTCACTGTTGGTCGACATCCACTTTCCATTTCATTAAAATATCAAATAAAAATCCAAATAACATCGATCGGTTTATGCGTTTTCTTCATCTTTCTCGTTTTATTTTTGGGCCTTAAGACCTTTCTCTGAAATTTCGTATCGTATCCAATTCCGAAAGAAAGACAAAACGCAAATATTGCACAAGTTTACATTGATGTGACATTCCATAATAACAATGGCCAGAGTATTACTGAATTAAGAGGCATAATGCTCACATGAAACTCACACCAACCGATGAAAAATTGCTTCGCATAAAGGTTAAGCATTACACATCATTACTTATGTGTATGCGTGCCAAAATTAATTTGTCATTTTGTTGTATGAAAGATAAAGTGCAGCACACAATTCGGCGAAGAAATAACAAGAAGAATTAACACACAATATAGTTGCAACATCAAAAATGTGAACAACATTCTCCGAAATGTGTATTTATCAATGAAATGAGACGAGGCAAAAACAAAAGAAAACACACAAGAAAAAACTGAAACAAGTACGCACCTTGACAACTGGGCTAAATTCAAAATTTATACAATTAAAATAACTTTGCATTTTATTTTTATTGGTGCACTTGCATACACATCGTAGTTTTTATGGCCACACACTCACACACATACAGCATTATCACATCGAAAGTTCGAGAAGGTAATCCAATTCAATGCGCACCCAGTTTTGTTGGGTTTTTTTCTTCTTCGGGTTGATTTGGGTTCGATGGATATCTCTTCATGACATTGAAATCCGTACCACACATTTGACGCATGAGACGCGCTATCGTCTTTCGATGCGATTGTTTTTATCGGATTTTCTTATATGTCATTGTCACTGTAGTTCAAGAAAAAGGCGTTTCATTCATCGTCAACTATCGATTAATTCTGGAATAATAATTTATAATAATTTCCACATTCTTTTTTGTTTGTTGGTAGATTCCCGTATGGTGACGAAGAAGTCTAAACTAAATCGTGCCAATGTTTGTAACTCATTTGCAAATAATTGCAATTATTTATCAATTCGTCAAAATCGGGCCAAAGTCAACCGAAAACGAAAAGAAGAAGAAAAAAAAACATCAACGGCAAATTGGAACGGTCGTCTATGCATTTACGAATGGCAAAGTGTTTGCGATTCCGGTCTATTTAATAAATGCATTCAAGTGAAAACAATCAATATATGCAACGATGATTGCTATTAATCAGCACTTCTTGGGTTCGTGTTCATTTGGTGTTTTAAAAAATCATATTTTTTATTTATTGTAAACAATGTGTTGATTGCAATCGACATTTGCGCTTAACAGACCTTCCATATGATCATTCATAAAAAAACATACACACACAAAACTTAAATAAAACAACAAACATATGCTATAATGTCTAGAGGTATATGAGGAAGACAATTGTGTAATCTTTATAAAAAACAACAACAGCAAAATCTCATCTTAAGTTGCTCGAGTTGAATAATTAAACAAAGTCCCAGCCTATGCGCTACTTCCTGCTGGCATTCCAAATTCTCGTGCAACATGTATTCCAATATAAATCGAAAGCGCTGGCGCTCGATATCGCGCGCGACTGCATCGTTCGTATCGAATGAGAGATGAACAATTTGTTGTGCAATTTAATTGGTGTAATTAGAATTGACGTTGTGTTTGTATCAGATAAAGAGAAAAAATCGTTGGTGTTCAAATGATTTGATGTCTTTTATAATTATATTTTTTTTTTCCAAGCAAAAACAACAACAACATCAAAAAGATTCGTTTAGTGACATTGAATCTCGAAACCGAATACAAAGAGATTTGCATTGCAAAAATTTGCAACAAGACCAGTTTGTGTCACAAAAATGCGCTGTAGAATTGTGTTGCTGTGCCGCGTGAAAACACGGACAACAATGAACGCATTTTTTGCTATTCTCAGATTAAGAGGATAAAATGGGGAAATTTCTATTTTTATGTTATAGCTTTTAAACAAATTCGATAGCGCACATGCTGAGTGTGTGAATTATGAATCGCTAGAGTGGTCGTACATTGATATCGTTTGCGTTTATTTTTCATTTGCTAGCAATTTCAGTAGAAACTTTGTGTACAAAAGCATTAAATCATCAACGATGATGATGACGATAATATTGTAAACATTGCAACTTATTTTGATGTTCAAATGAGAGGAAGCGAGAAGCAACAAATTCATTTGTTTTCAATTAGTGGCTTGAAATAGAAAAAAGTGTAGGAAAAAAAATACTCTCCCACTCTTTGCTCAGAATTTTTTTTAGGAATAGTAATAGATTCAAATGATTTGTCCATTAAATTTAATATACAGCATTTGATATGCCACAAGAAAAAAAAGATTTTATTATTGAAGCAAAAAAAAGAAACGAAATGCTCGCAAACGATTAGTGTTAAAGCTCAAGCTAGCAAATCACAAAAACCATACACACTCTCACACATTCTCTTCATATTGGATTTCATAATTGTGCACTACGCAAAAAAAAACACGAGACGCCAATCAGATCGTAGAATAATATTGGTTGCCAAGCAATCACAATTAGCGGTAAAATGCATACATGTATGCTGAGCGCAAGTGCATTTCGCATGCGAATATGTAATAATGATTATTATTCATTCAAAATGCTATAATGTCAAAGAAACGAACGATGGTGAATGCGAACGGTTGTCGTCGTAATGAAAGAAAGTGAGTTAAAGAACACAAGTGCGCGTCAGTCGATGTAACTCGAATCTTTCACCGCATTACTGACTCGGTTCCGTGTGAATTCATCATATTTGAAGAAAACGATTTAAGTTTGTATTAAGAAATTCAAAAAAAAAATATATATATCGTCTTCGTTAATCTTCAAGAATTGCGAATCGATGGTGTGTATGTGCATTGAGGCTCGGACATTTTTGGTACGGCTTCAAAAAACAATAAAATTTATGTGAATTTGAAGAGAGAATGAGAAAGAAAATGTATATAAGAAATGAAATATAAAAGCTGTGAAAGCGTTTATAGCTGTGCGAACGCGCGTAAGCGAAATTATGTGGAAAGTGTGATATAATCGAATAATTTTACATACACTCCAAAAAAAAAGATAATACTGAGCATATATGTATAAATATATATTTTTATACTTTTTTAGCTCTATAATCACAGCTCACTTTCGCGCATACATCGTATAGAAATCGGATTTGGTTACTGCGGCTGCTACTTTGTTACTTTTTTTATCACACTTGTATCCAAAATAATTGTCATGCAATCATGAAATGGAATTTCAATTACACACATTTAAATACATACTTTGATGGCGGAATAACATTTGCAGACTAAACGATTTTGTTTATTTTGTCACATACTCTTTCGATCTCGTGTGTCTATGTGTGCACGCGATGAGATGGGTAACACTCAATGAGAGATGTTTTCATTCATGGTTTCTTGCCACAGTGTGAGACGCATGTTTTACAGTTGCAACTTCACTTGTACACGCCTCTAGACGAGAATGAATGCATCGCAGCTAAATCACACAAATTGCATTTGAATACGGGTTAGTAAGCTGGATCGCTTGAGTATTGACATTGGTCTTTTGTACCGAACACAATAAATTTATGTGTCTGTGTATCAATTTCAATTTTATCTCACTTATTCATCAATTGCTTAGCAACACACAATTTTTTATCGACCAAAATATCTTCACGAGTTATGACCTTATGATAGTGTGTTTTTTTTTTCGATATCATTTTCGTTTATCACAGAATCTGTACTTTCTCACGCTCTTTTCTCCATCTCATTCACTCCATTGAAAACGGTATTGAAATGAAAATGTCAACCCGAACACCACTTCACAAAATAAATGAACAAATTAAAATGCAGAACATATTTTGCAAGATGATTATGCTCGGGTTTTTTTTTCGTATAAAAGATTTGAAATGCGGGTATGTCAAAGAAGCACAATCATCGAAGCATGTGCATTATCTAAAGAATCAAAGCTACATGTTGATGAATAAATCACAACACAAATAACATTTGGTTCCGCCTTTTCTGCATTATACGATACAATAAAGACGCAACAGTATTGTTGCGTTTGAGATGTGTATCAAATGGTGGTCGACCACTGACTTGGTATTCATCATTGCACAATCCGAATTAAATTCAAGAAATTGAAAATAACAAAACAATCTATTATACTGAAAGTGCGAATTTCCACATATGCAATAAAACATGACACTTTCGTTGATAGAAGGTATGTAGTTATTTCAACACAAATAAAAATGATTCAAACACATTCACTGAAAGTGGAAGAAAATGAATAACAACAGAAAAAAAATTCATCCGATTCATCCAAATGCGGTGCGGTCAGACAATTTTTACATTCATATTTTTATTAAATGTCAGTTTGCATTCAGTTGATTTGACTTCATGACAAACAACAAATAGCGTTGATATGTGTTTATTCAATAATAATAATAATAATAATAACATTGCCATAAAAAGAAAATAAAATGTTAGCATTATCGAAAACGGCTGTTTTTGACAATGGCGGGGAGACTAACCCAATATTTCACATATTGATTTTGTCGAGATGTCGCCAATCCCCTAACAAATAAACTAAATCCATTTACTACTTCATCAATGTTTTCAATTGTTACACACGCTTTTTTTCTAATTATGAGTTGAATAGAGAAAGAGAGCACACGACTAGTACTCTAAAAAAGCGGCCCTTGTCTTCTCTAGCGCTTGATTCGTGCTGTATGGTATAGTACTTTATGGTGACGACATTAAGCACAATATTTGTTTATTCACTACACTTCAAATCAATTATTTTTTTAAAATCCATTTTTGGATTGTATTCGTTGTAATATAAAAAGCCCCTTCTGATTTTGATAATGAACCAAAATGCTGTATGCCAATTGAAATCATCAATTGTGAATCACAGTGTGTTTGCATGTTGATTACATTGCATATTCCCGACACTCTTTGTGCATTGGCTTGTCTGTCCCCATGATAGTACCGCTTTCAGAGTGCGCGCACATACACAACACCACATAATTCATCTTTCTTCGCAAACAATCGTACCGAAAACGAACTACAACAAATTTATTATATTGACGCCAGTAATCACCGCGTGTTTTTGGTCTAAACTGTATTTTTGTCGGTGACAGAGGGACCATTAACAAACCATTATCAAATTGAAAGCTGCATACTTTTTTATACACCTTCTTCTACAATGTAACAGTTTTTTTGCAGCTATTGCTGCAAATTTGTGCGCGACACGATAGATTATACTCTCTTTCTCTTTCTTTTGGTCTCTAATTAATGATTTTTTTGCTCTATTCTGGTTCAATACTCGGAACACACAGATTAGCAACAACAACAGCAACACAACCAAAAGAATCATTTGAATGAATAAACTAAATGAATGTCGTGTTTCAAAGTACAGTTGCGAATAAATATGTATCTGAATGTATTTGTGATAGATATAGTTATACTTATACAGAAGAATATACACGAGTTCAAGAAATTGAAGAAATACACACAACAACAATTTTCATTGACACTAACCACGGAGAGAGCGGAGAGAGCAAAAAAAAACACCGCTAAAAGAGTTAATGAGATATCTTCTCACCAGTTGAAATACGTCTCTATCGTATAGATGGATAAAAAAATGCTTCCGAAAAATTAACCACAAAAACAGAAATGTTTAATTCATGAAATAAAAACGTTACGAAAATAAAATAAAAATGAAAAGAAATTTTTGTTGCTCCTTACGCTTTTTTAAATAAACACGCACAGAGTGTCCGATATGGATAAATGGGGAAATTTTCCTTGTTCGTTCAGCAAATCGAGCGATGTACGGAATACACTTTTTTTTTAAATACGTTCGACGATTGATTATTTCACAGAGTGCTCTCAAGCTTAACGTGTTTATTTTTTTAACTTAAAATTGTTTTATTGAGAGATGGGAAACAATATATTTTTTGATTCGATTAATCTTGGGCTTTATTTATATGTTTTATGTATGGTAATATTCGCACCAATGATCGACTAGGTACTGATTTTCGTGTGTCACTTACTCACGAGTTTTGTACAAATCAGTCGGTTCACTCACACATGTAACGATACCGCTCCACCACATCACACACAACAATAACCAAATATATCTCATTCGCGCTCTATTCGCAATGTGAATTGGCAAAGAGAGCGAAAAAGAGGGAGAAAACAATTGAGCAAGTGGAGAAAAGAGTATACAACAACGATTCACACACAAATGATTTGCTTGGAAACGAGCGTGCGTAAGCATGTGCTTCGACGCTTTTGTTACGTTTATGCCAATACATTTGCACAATATTTGAAGACAATGTCGTCGTCATCGTCGACGATGACTGGTCTCTCTCTCTCTCTCTCCATCTGTGTAATAAATAAAACACGCTTTTACATCTCGACGACTCTCGTTTGTGTTTCTTATAAAATTTTATGTATATGCCTGAATGTGTTTGGATCGATTCTGCCATGTGTCCGTCTCGCACATTCAATTCAAATAATCCACAATTTTTTGTTGTTTTTCGTTCATATTTCTTGAAAAACAACGCATCTAAAAATAAACTTTTTTTGTTCAAATTAAGTTTTTTTTTTCGTTATTAATTTGAATTATTATTTTGGATGGTTCAAGGGAACGAGATTCGATTTTCGAATATGTTTTCGGTTGTTTTTAACATTTGAACCGTTTATGGCATGCAATTTTATATTCTCAATGCGGAATCATAATTTGTGGACCGAAAAATAAAAAAACGACGTGTTCAGTGTGGTTGATCCCACTTTTAAAACATATCAATTTTCGGATGATATACCGTTCGACATCAACCCACCGTGAGATAGAACGAAATTTCAAAGTCAAAAAGCATATATTTAAAAAAAGGCGCACACACAATAGTGATTGTTATACAGAGATTGTACACTTCGTTTATCCGGTTTTACATGAATTCTCTTCATTTCTCTATCTCTGTTTCTCTCTTTTTCTCTTATTTATCATCGGCAGCGCACATACATACATTTGAAAACGTTCGAATTTCGTGTATGTACATTGTACACGGTATTTGGAGCGCGTATACCTTGACTTTTGATCAACCCTGCCATTCTTCTCAAATGCAAAATAAAAGAAAAAAAAGACAAGCTACACAGTAAACATAGGATATCATACATTTTGGTAATAAGCCGGCATCGATTTAACGAACGGGAGAGAACGTCACAAGAAATGGAGAAGAAAAGTGTGTAATGAGAGAGAGAAAGAGTGTGTGTGTATGTGTATGTGCTGAGAGAAAGAGAGTAAAATCCGAAGTGACAGAATTTAGCGGGCAACTGTCACAATTGGCCATAACCTCACATAACAAACAAAAAAGTGTAAATAAACAAATTCGCACAAGTTGCGCATAATCAAAATTTTCAAAAAGTTTTTGGACAAAAAAAAAATCAAACAAATAAATAAAAGTGCATGTTTTCTTTCAAACGAACATGGAAATAGCTGAGAAATTCGCTTATCGAACGGATCAATTTATACCGTTTAGTTTGCATCGAACGACCGAAAGTGAATTGTATTGTGTTAGTAGTCGAACAAAAGTTTATATATCCGAATTAATTTACAGTCATCATTGCGATGAACGAATTTTTATGGAACAATCGGTGCTTGGCGATTTAACGAAATTTATGCCAAGTCGTGGTGTACCAAAGAATGCGGCAAATATTTTTAATAAATCTACAAAACCCGAACAAGATCGTTTATTGGTTGACTATCATTTGATGACAGAAGAATTGAAAGTGAATGGTGAACGTGTTGCATTGGCTCAAACACGATGGTCACCGATACAATCGCATTTATCCGGAAAATACTATTTGGCATATTTAACCAATTTTGGTGGTTGTGAAATTCGTCAAAAACATGCGGGCAAATTTTCATGGTGCCTCGTTGTGCATAATATTGCAAAGGAATGGTTAATTTTACGTCAGAAAGATATAAAATATGCGCTCAATTCATTTGAATCGTTTGAAGATGCCGTTTATGGCATTAAAATTACGGCCATTTCATGGAATCAACGGTTGGATGTTAAGGAATGTGAAAATTTGGAGTTTTGCTTCGTCACAGCCAATGGAACCATTGCATTTTACAATATTGGCGGTGAAACACTTGAACTACAATTCCAAAAGAAACTGAACTGCAAACAAGCCAATGCCATCGAATGGTTCACTTTTACGGATAAAAACAATCGACGTCGATCTTATATTGTTGCATGTGAAATCAAGGGTGTAATTAGTCTATTTAGCGTACGATATGAACAAATTGCAACTAAGTCAACCACCACTAGCACCAGCATCGGAAGCATTGCGGATGTTATTGAATCAGCGCAACTATTTTCCGATTCGGACGGTGTTTGCGCCAATGGCATCCAATGGGAATATTATCAACAATGCAATCAACTTGTCTTTGTCATTTGCAAGGGAATGCATGTGTTTGCCTATTTATTTAGCCTCGACAAAGAAACTGTTGTATCATCATGCAACCATTACGTCGGACATTTAACGATAAATGGTAAAGATAATGACAATGCTAAATTAAATTAATTATTTTTCCGCAATCACAACAAATTTCCTTGCTTTTTCCATAAAAATCTAAATATCTAACCGAAAATAAGTACAAGAATTATACAATTTCTTTTATCTAAACGATATCGATTATTTTATTACGTCGATTTGAGCACTTTATCGGTAAAATCAATTTCAAAATTTAGCATTTTTATTTTGGTTGCATGCATGCGAATAATTTTGAAAAGTTTTCCAATTTAATAGATTAATTTCATTAACTTTGCCACTAGATCAAGTTTTCAATGCAAAAAAATACTTTTTAAGCAATGTAATGGTTACGTGAAGTAAAATTGTTGCTTGATATTATCATTGTTGCGTATTTAGTGTTATTGATGTCCATGACATGCAGTTCAAATTGAAATGGAATTTATATCGTCATTGGTCTATCGTTTTTTTCTCTCTCTATTTTTCTCTCGACATTGCTCAAACTACATATTAATTATAATTCAAAATTGGTTTCAAAAGTTGTTCAAGAGAGAGGAAAAGAGAAGAAAACACACATTCATTTGAAAAAAAAAATTGCATTATCAACAGACGTCATTAATGCATTTTATTTGTACTGCAGTTACTAATAACCGTGTTTTTAATTCGAAATAATTTGTATTTTAATTACCATGACAGGTATAACGAAACGAAAACCATTGGAATACGTTGTTGGGACATTGAGTGGGCACTTGGAGTGTATACGATTCAAAATCGATGAAAATACAATTGCAGTAAATTCAGAGGCGTTAAAACCACCAAACGGACACTCTAAGTATGCACTTTATGGTGTAGCCACTTCAATAAACAATGCATTTCTTTTGTGTGCATATTTTGCCGGAAGGGTAAGAATCATTAGAGTGTTTTTTTTTCTTTCTGTTCTTTGAAGCGACTTTTCTTTATACTACAAACGAAAAAAACTCACATTTCTTCAGCGATAAAAGTGTTCTTTTTTGAATTGAAGAGAAAGAGAAGATATCCATTGACTTGATGTGAGCACATCTTGATACGTGCTCCAAGTCATTGTGTATTGAACGTGTCAGTGGATGTAGGTTGATTTCGTCCTCAAAATCAATTTTGTTTTTTTGTTTTTCTTTGCAGCCATACGATCATCTGTCATTGCGTGAACCAGGTCATTTGACTGTTTGTCATCAACTTGGCGGACAAAAATCATTGGAAACATTACAAAATAGTACGACATACAATTTATCACGGGCCCAAGATTTGGCCGAATCAATTCGATGTGCACAACTTCGACATGACAAAATATTTGAAAACTACCTCAAGACATATCCCAGTGAAATAGAATGCAACGAACAATATGCGTATGCATTAAAAGTTCGTTTATTGGTAACGAGTGCTCGCCGCACATATTTACGCCAAAAAAATCGTATAATTGAATGTGGCAATGTGAACAGCGAATACAATGTACTGAAAAAGTTCATCTTGACTCTTCAATCCTACTCGATATTGTTGCATCTCAATAAAATTGCCAAAAAATTAAATGAATTTCAAATAATATCGGCACAGTGCCATCGACGTTCGTTGTATGAGTTTATCAATTTAAATGTGGCCAAAGAATATGAATCGATCAAAGTGCAATTTCATCCATTGATTGAAACATTATTAACAAAATCGGATGGACTCGATAAGCGGGCTATTGAAAAATGTGCATATTGTGATGCACCGGTCGATGGTGTCAAAGGAGTGTGCGAACTAGAACATAATTTACCAAGATGCTGCATTTCAATGGTACAAATACTTTTCCGATTACTTATCGATTATTTTAAATTTTATTCTTTCCTTTTGTGATTCTCCCCTTAGGTACAAATACCATTGATGAACCAACGTCAATGCATTCATTGTCAAAGTTTTGCGCTGGACGACATTTCAAAATTAAAACAAATTTTACCCTCACTCAAATCAATCATTTGTCCATTATGTGACCTGCCATTGGATCAACAACATCTCAATTTTTTCGATTATTTTGAATAAAGTCGGAAATTTTAATCCAAAAAGAAATTTGTACAAGAATTAGAAGAAAAAACAGTTTTTTTTTGTAATTAAATAATTTTTTTAATAACTCTTTCCAACAAAAATATAATAAACGTTTATGTATAGCATAATGATATATGTACAAAAATGTTCTTTTTTTTCTCTATAATTCGCAATTATGTTTTCGTTACAGTTTTCAATTTTACCAATCTACGTGTATATATCATTTATTCATTTCGAATGTTTTGAATTCTTAATTCGGCGCGCTCGTGCGATCAACGATTTTGTGTTATTGAGTTTTGATTTGTATGTTTTTGCACGATATTATAAAAAAACATATGCTTTCTGTTAATGCTTCAAAAATATCGATCATATATATCATATATATGAATAAATTTTCTTTTTTTTTTTTTTTCATTTATGTTTGTTTACATTTTCGTTCTCTCTAAATAGGTATAAATTATTAATTTTTTTTGTTCGTTAAACGGTTTTTTTGTCGTTTTTTGTTTTTGTGTTTTTTTCTATTCTCCCCCTGAAATTTAAATATAGATAGATTTTTTGTTTTAATTAATTCTTTTTTGTTAAATCTGTTTATTGTGCAAAAAAAAATTCATGCCTAAACGTCTAATGTTTTCTTGGTCATACTTGTTCGGATTCATTTGTTAGCTCTAGTTGTGCGAGCGTACGAACAACTTCACCACGTTGCGTTGACGATAATGTTTGACAGAGACCAATGCAAGTTTCAAGTGCAACATCAGGGCATTCTTCAAGCGATTTACGAATTTGTGATATGATTGCATCACGTTTAATTGCATTGATATTATTTTCGACGACCGAATCGGGTTTGGTTTGTTCGAGCAACCATCCAACAACATCTTTATTACATTCCCAAAGATGTGCTTCAGTTGCGCCTTTATCTTCGGCAAACCATCTGAACAACGTTTCCTTTGCTTGATCAACATTTGGATTATCATGTGCGGCAATGATCTTCTTCACCATTTGATGTTCAAGCAATAAACGATGCAAACGCCAATGCAACCAGCTACGCGATGTTCGCCATGGTACAATGTCATTGATACAACCCTTCTCCAGCATACGTTCGGGTGTGTCATGCAAATCAGCAAAGTGTACGGCAACCGTATGATAGACATGTGTCAACGCTTGCGTACGCTCTTTGATTTTTAGTTCCAATTGTGAAACCAATTCCTTGTCACTAGCATTTTGTTCGATTTGGTTTTTCAACTAAAAAGAAAATGCACAAAACGAAAAACGAAATTCATTTATTTAAATTGTGAAACAAATGGGTAAAAAAATGATCAATTAAATGAATACTCACATCCATCACCACGTGATCCAAACGATTGATGGTCTTAATCAAATCCTTTTCTTTGAATTTAACCTCAACGATACCTTCTGGTTCCAAGACTCCACCACGCGATTCCGGATCCGAGTATGTTTCCATATAGGTTGGATTAATTTGTGAATCAAGCACAGCCCATGCACCACCACGCAATTCTGAATTTGGTGGCAGATAAACGATAACTGGTTGTTTGTACTCACGCAAACCGTCAACAATGTACGCGCCGAATTTCACAATTTGTTCGTACATATCTTTCATACCGCCGGAGAAACCACGCCAATTGGCCAAAATGATTAATGGTAACTCTTCGTGACTGAAATCTTTAATTGCTTGTGCCGTTTTATATGATGAATCTGGATACCATACTTGACCGGCTTGTTGGAATGTTTTTGCTTCTGAATCGAGATTGGCCGGATCGGCTGGCATTGTCAATTCAACTGTACGCGTCTCCACAGCAATCACACCGACTGGAATACCACCAAGACGTGCACGACCGGTGACAACAGTTTGTGCCCATCTGCGGGAGCGACGAAAAAAATGAACACATTTTTAGAATCATTCAACATTCTATTTTGTTGTTGTTAAAAATCAAACTTACGGTTCCATAATTTCAGACCATGAGTTACGATCGAACAAACCGGATTCCCATTCACCAGGATTGGTTGGATTTGGTCGTCCAGCAATCATCCAGCGTGGATCGTATGGTGCTTTTGTTGGTACAAAAGCAACTGGTCGTTCAATTGGGTCATTTGGAATAACGATTGGCAATCCAACGCCAACCTTTGCCGGAATGTATGATAACCATGAGAGGATTGTATAAATACCATCCAAATCGACCGCTATCAATACAAGAAATGTTTATTAACGACTCTTTTGATTTAAAAATGTCAAATTTACCTTCAGTTTTGTGTGTCACACCATTTTGGTACATAATTTGCGTACCACCAAGTTGATTATTTGAAGCGTACACTTTTCGTCCCAATAACTATGATACAATGCAAAAACGTGCAAATTCATTTTCATTTCTTTGTTTTCTGTCATTTTCATGTCAATTCGATAGATTTACCTTATTTAAAGCTGCATATCCCGTTAAAATAATGTGAGAATTATCGATTTGAATCACACGTTGACCCAAACGCAATAGATATGATCCAATACCAATAGCACGACATGTTACCATTGAGATGGTAACAATTTCATTGTATGCTTGTGATGTTTCACCGGCAATCATACCAGCATATTTCAAATTTTCCACACCAAGTCCATCTTGTTTACCAATAATATCGGTAATTTTGTACCTGATTAATATAGAATTGATAACATTAACTTTTTGTTTGTCGTGGCAAACGGAATGGATGGTTTGTTACCTTTGTTCACCTTCGTCCTCGATCAAAATAGCATGCACTGAATTCAAGTTCGAAATTTTATGATAATCGTCTGTGGTCAAGTACAAATATTTGAATCCTTTGTCTGGTTCTTCTGGATCTTCCCATGCAACTCTGAACAGTGATTTCACTTCTTCGGCCAAACCGATACGTGCACCACTGTTACACGAAATGTAAATCTGTATACAACAATGGAATTTGATCAGATACATTTTTATTTCTGGTCATTTAATTGAATCCAAGCACACTTACTCTTGGCACTTTGAGTTCTCTTGCTAATATCGAAGCTTTGTTGAAAAGTAAATCTTCTTTTGGACCAAATGAACCAATCAGATATGTTAAATCATTTGCAATTAAAATCATTTCACGACCCTCTGGATATTCGGGCGTTGATAGGACTAGACGCCAAGCAACCATACCACACTGCAATTACAAAGAAAAAAAGAGCAATGATTATGAGCAATGGTCAAAGAGAAAAAACGAATAAAGTACAGCAACAACGTACGTCATTTTCACCGGGCAATCGTGGAATTTCTTCGAGTTTATCGTCAACTAAAACGAGCTCTTTACAGTCAAGTAGCACCTTTTCTGGCATTCGAATATCAACGGATGGACGAGCCTTTGCAAATTCTTTCCACAAACGTTCGGTCATTTGACGGAACATGTCTGGCATATCGTATGCATATGTTGTACCGTTCGATTGAGCTTGGAAGCGTTTTTGTTGCAAGAAATCTTTGGTTAAATATGGTGTTGAAATTGGCAAATTATGCAATGGTCCTTGTTTTGTGCCGTATGCCATGAATTTAATTTCGCCATTTTCTTTGTCGGTGACTTCAGTGTACATGGCAATGTCCAAGAAGTAACCGGAATCGTTTGAAATGCAAAGACGAATGGTTTGTGTTGGTGCTTGTGGTGATTGTCGAATGACCATTTTCAATTCGGCTTGTAGTACACGTAATTTCCATAGACGTGGTCCATAGCGCATGACCATTTTTGTAACTGATTCTTCAATTTTGGCTGGATCCATAATGACCGTTGGCACAAAGTTTAAGAAAATGTGATTGCAATCGGTGCGTTTCGATTGTGAATGTGAGAATGCAACTTCTAATTCGTCCATTGCTTCAAGCAAAACACGTTCGCCTTCGTTTTGCAAGTATTCGAATGATGCTTCCTTGGTGATTAAATCTTGATGGCGAATAATCGAACGAATAAAGAAACGGAAATCGGTAACTTCTTGTCCTTTGGCCACTTTGGCTTTGCCCAAATACAAATGCATTTTCTGGTTGGATGTTGGTAGAGCTTCTAAATCGTATGTACGCATGCGGTTCAATTCCAATTGGAAGGCACAGGCCGGTTCCAAATGACGATAAATGCGATCTTCTTCGTAATTGTTACGAGCACGGAATGTAAAGAATTTCGGGAATTGACGCTTTTTCAATGCAGCAAATGTAATACGACGCACACGACGATGGAATAATTCTTCGCGATGTTGTTCACAATAGGCTTGGAATTGATTTGCCATTTGAGCATCGTCCATGTCACCAGTATCACGAATGGCCACACTCAAAATGTGAATTGGTTCAGTTGGTGTGTTTTGTTCTTGTTCGTTTGCTGGCCGTGAAATTGGATCGGACAATGAAACATTGATCGATGTACTCAACCGTCCACTTCCATCATCGGCTGCTTCAACTGCATCCAATACTTTGCTATTTATAAATGCTGGCGATACGGAATCCTCAAGCAAGTCCAAAATTTCATCGGAATATTCTTGGAAATTTTCGAATGAATTGAACGCTGCCATGCATCCGGTACGCATAAATGAACCAGTGAAAATGGTCTCGGTTTCACTTTTTTCTGGCGAGAATTTCATGAAGCATCGATTTGGATGAGCCGTTGGCAACAAAAATTGGAAATAAACCAATGGCAGTTCGCCGGATAGTTTATGGTGTTGCAAACACGTCAATTCATATGAAATATACGATCGACGAATGTATACTTCAAGGGCAGCATTGCAGACAGCACGATTACTGTGATAGAAGAAATCGTGTAAAATATCGAAGATTGATGTCTCCGATAAAATTAATCGTTGCAAATTTTCCGGATGGAAATCATGACCGTACATATCAACGGCCGACAAGAATATCGATTCCATTTGATTGTGACGCAATTCATAGGCCGGTTGATGGGCAGCAATCAAAACTTGACGTGCACGCAATGCAACGCGTGAATGTTCGGCACGATTCAATGATGTCAATTCACTCAATGTGGCAGCCAATTCATCGGTCAATCCAGGCTCATTGTCCCACAAATGATCAATCAATAGGGTGACCAATAAGTTCTTTTTGCTCACTTGACTGTGTGAGAAAATGGTGCTGACCACAGCGGCCATATCATCCTTGTGCTTTTCACGGAGTGCAGCCACACATTTGTCATAGTGACCGTATTGGAATTGACTTTCAACTGCATAGTATTGACGCAACAATTCATGTACGGCAGCCTTCATTCGACCACGAATGCCATTACGATAACGTTGAACAAGTTGAACGATTCCCTGCGTTGTCAAGAAGAAAACGTCACGTTCGGAACGTTTTTGAAGTGTTGCAGCATGGCTATCGATAACGCTGGCGATTTGTTGCGATGGAAATTGTACCAAAACACTGGTAATATTGCGTTCATATAATGTCATCAATTTACGGATTTTCTTTTCAACGGACATCGGTATTCTGCCCGAAATTGATGCGATAACCTCTTGCAATTCAAGCAAAGGCAACGAACGATCACGCAAACTTTGCATGAACTTTTCAATAATCTCACGTAATCGTGGTGTATTGTATGGATCTGGTAAACAGAAACCGGCCAATCGATTTTCAAGGGCAGCTTTGTAGCTGGAGAGAAAGAGATGGATAGAGAAACAAAAGAAATATTTACTATCAATTACACAGAAAGAATAAACAAAAAGTTAACTTACCTATTGTGAATACGATTCAATTTCTCTGGAACAAGATGGTGTTCAGATGGTGGGAATGGATTTTTGTACAGTTGAGCTTTTGTGACTAATGATGGATCATCCAATTCAATGTGACCGATAAGACTGCCAGCATCCAAAACAGCACCACCACGTCTTACAAATGATACAGTACCGGACTCTTGAGCCGTCAATGTCATGACCATTTTCATGACTTCGATTTCAGCATACGCTTGACCCTTGTTCACATGGCCACCATCTTCAACAATTAAATTGATTAATTTACCAGCCGATGGACTTCGAAGTAACGATGGATCATTTTCTTTATCAAAGACAACAGTTTGATTTCCAATCACAATACGGTAACGATCGACCTCTTCTTTCATATAAGTTGTGTGACTAGCACCTTCCAGCGACAAAAGCATACACCCGTCGGACAAACGATGCACTTCAACTTCTTTGAACGAACCATTCATCACAAGGAAATAGGTGTTTGCACCACTTTTGGCAACTTGAACTTTATATTTTATGCTATTCGAAATCAGTTCGACATCCACCACATTGGTCAATGTATTGGCCGCTTGAATTTGACCTTTTTCCAATGAAGTTTGGAAGTGTGTAAACGATTCGGAGATTTGACGGTCGGCAATGTGCAAAGCACCGCAGATAACACCGAGCAAAACGTTCGGTTTATCGGCTTGAACACGTTGAGCAATTAAGGCATCCAACCAGGCAGTATCAATAGTATTCTCTAAGAAACTGTTTGTTTCTAGCAATGTAATCAAATATTCAACGGTTGTACGGAAATCACCACGAATTGATAGCTCTTTCAATGCAATGACCAAATTTTCACGGGCCTGATGACGAGTTTCACCCCATGAGAAACAATGACCGAATTGTGAATCGGCAAATTCATGCAAACCACCAGATGCGGCAACACTGAAATAACCCCATACATCTTTGCTTGAACGGAAATTCAATTCTTGCACAGTACCTGTGAATTTAAATGAACACAAACAAAAATGATTAACATTTAATAAGCAATTGCTTTTTTTTTACACAAAATCTTACCTGAACTTGGTTTGAAACCTTCATCGGGATTTTCAGATGTGATACGTGCAGCAATAACGTGACCCCATGGTCTTGGTTTGTTTCTTGGTGTATCAAAATCAATAATGGATGAATCCCATGGTGATTCACCATACAATAAACGAATATCTTTCAAACGGAACAATGGTACACCCATTCCGATTTGCAATTGACAAGCAGGCAAATTGACATCGGCGACCATTTCCGTACATGGATGTTCGACTTGTAACCTTGGATTCAATTCCAAGAAATAGTAATTGCCATCGTTGGCATACAAATATTCAACGGTACCGGCGCTCACATAGCCAACCATTTTGGCCAAACGAACGGCAGCTCGTTCCATTTCCTCGAACACCTCCGGATGAGCTATAATGGCCGGTGCTTCTTCAATAATTTTCTGATGACGACGTTGAATGGAACAATCACGGCCAAACAAACTGATTGCATTGCCATACATATCAGCCAATAATTGAACTTCTAAATGGCGTGCTCCGCTGGCCAATTTCATGACGAAAATGGGCGAGCCCGGAATTTCAGCTTGTACTTGGCGGAACAATGAGGCAAAATCTTCTGATTTATCAACACGACGAATACCTTTACCACCACCACCTTCGGATGCTTTGATCATAACCGGAAATCCAATTTTTTGTGCAGCCGCCAAACCTTCTTCGGCCGTTGATACACAACCACGATTAAATAGTTCCGATGAGATTTTAATCTTTTTATTGTTGTATTGTGCTTTCAAACTCGATCCAGACCATGAAAGTGTTGGCACCTCGGCCGTTTGTGCAACAATCGATGATGCAACTTTATCACCAAGAGCCCACATAGCACGCTCTGGTGGTCCCAAAAATACGATCGATTCTTTACGCAATAATTCGGGTAATTTTGGATTTTCGGATGCATGACCCCATCCAGCCCATACGGCTTGTACTTGTGTTCGCACCGCAATATCAACAATCAATTCAACATTGGCGTAGTTGTTATTATTTGAACCACCTGGTACAGGTACATAGTGATCGGCCATTTTGATATATTCAGCGTTTGCTTTAAGATCTTCGGGTGTAACCATGACAACAAAACGTACGGCACGCTCATTTTGAAACATTTCATACGACCAACGTCGTATTGAGCGCATACATTTAACGGCAGCAATTCCATTGTTAGCGATCAAAACCTATGAAATAAGTCAAGTTTAGCATATATTTTTTTCGATTAAATTCAATAATGCGTTGATAGTGACGGTGAAATTAAAACGGTACACACCTTGTTTATTGCCCGAGTACCGTCGAATCTCTTGACAAACTCTTCAACAGATGAAAGTACGAAGTCACGTTCATGATTACGATCGAGTCCAAGCCCAGCACCTCTGGACATACTAGGTCTGAATACATTGAAAGAAAAATGAGAGAAGATAATTTTTAATTAAAGCAATTTCATTTCGATTTATGACGCTTTGGTTATTTTCGCTTCTTTCTTCATATACAATATTTGAACAATGATTACTCAGATTCAAAATTCGAAATTAGTCACACATTTATCATGTCATAAAAATTCAAAAGAAAAAACTGTGTTTTATTCCCAAGCGAAACAACTACAGTAAAAACACTGAGCAAACTGATATTATAAAAAGTGTTAAATAGCAATTATCATAAGTGAAATGATTTCCAAAAATAATACGATTTTAACATTAAAAGATAAGGTCAATCATTTCAAAATGTATATAAGCGTATGATTTTTGTGAATCATTTGCACCGCCTGTGTGCATCGTGATGAAACATATTTGACAAAAACAAGACAAAAAAGAAACAAATTGTACTATAATCAACCGGAAGCCCCAAAATAGATTGGTTGTACTCTAAAAAAACGGAAAGAAATGTGTTGCGAACAAGAAAAATAAAATGAAGAACAAACTCAAAAAATAAATTATTTACTTCAACCCTTGATTTAATTCAACCGTTGTCTTTGGTACGGTTAAATGATTTTCGGATGTAGTTTGTGTTGATGCTGACGATGTTGGTGGTGGTGTGGTTGTTGTTGTTATAGTTGTGGTTGTTGTTGATTCTGTATTCATATTGGAATTGTTGGCATTTCTGTCTACGGTTATATTAGGAATATTATCAACACTGGAATCCCATACATCGTCCTGACCACTTTCGGCCAATACAAAACGTTTGCTAGCACGACGTTTGAGCATATCGATTACGAACGCCAATAAACACCCTAGAACCATACACTGTCGAGAATAGTTGTGTTCGTGTTTTTGTATTGGTTTTACTATCGTGTATTTTGAATATTTGGTTTATTTTCTAAATTTAATAAATTTTTATATGCCGACTTGTCTCATTCAAGATTCATTCAATTTTCAGTTCAACTTTTTCAGTAAACTGACGTTATTGAATTAAATGGCCGCACACTCCCGTCTACGAACACACGGATTCGAAAAGCGAAATTGTGCAAAAGAAGAAGATTCAATCAATTCAACGCTTCTCTAGACTCTCTGTGTGAATATACCAGTTGGAAATAAAAGTTCAATATTTCACGTGCAAATATCTGTTATTCGGGACGAGACAAAAATGGTCGGATATTTAATTTGGAAACAAAAAACAAAAATTGGATGATGATTTTATTAATAAAGTCATCGTTATCGGACATTTCAGGTGATCAAAACACGCCGTAAAACTCATAAACACGTTAGACAAAAACGAATTTATATGCGCAATTCATTTAAGAAAGATGTACGTTCAACTCAAAAAATGCGATTCCAGTTTTCTTTTTCTCCTGCTCTTCTCATTTTCTCTGAATTAATTACAACACACATGGATTTTAATTTCTACGCAAAAGAATCAGTGTGCGTGTGTGGTATAAAAAATTTTGTGGGGCCATCGGCCAATAGCCAAATTCAATTTCAATGTCAAACGAGATTAAATTGTGTGACAAACATCAATTCACTCATTTACTGTAGCATTCCATCGAATTCAGTCTGTTTCGATTTTTTTTATTGGCCTTAACGAATACTTCTAATAACCACATACTGAATGGTAAATTTCATCAGGTTTTCTGGAAATTTTCGAATTAATCCCTTAACAGAGGAAACCATTTGATGATTACCTTCATTTTTAACAACTTCAAAGTACAATGACGTACTTTTTTCGTTTTGTTTAATATTTTGCTCATTTCCACGCATAAAATTAATTACACATATAACGTATTTTTTTTTTCTTTTCTTTTTTGAAAACCGCAAATTTTCGTCATTCAAATCGTTAACAATTATGTTGTTTATACAATATAATACATACAATAAAGCCATATTTTTCTTAAATATCAAACCGGTTTAAAAGTCTAAAGTCATTCGTAAACAACGCATTTGTTTACTTTTAAATTAATGCATTCACATACACAAACACACATGATATGCGACAAAAGAAGACAATTGAATAAAAAATACAAACAGTTTAATTGAAATTGAAAGGTTTTGTTTTGTTGTTGTTTTCTAGACAAAACAATGTACTTCCACGTATTAGATACGCACAATAAGATCCATACGCACACAATATGCGTGTCAATAAATGCGAATATCATTGGATAAACTGCCATAACATATAGAGATATTAAAAGTTAAAAGTCAAAAGTTATCCCATGCAATTCTAAAGGTATTCTCAATAATAAAATAAAAAGACAAATAAAAAACAAAACAAAAAAGAGGACTCAAATAAAAAGGCATTAATGGCATGCAACTACGTTGAATAAACACGAAAAATAAAATCTCACCTCATATTTGCCGCATTGAAATTATTTCTTATAAGCAAATTGTAAATTTTGATTGATCGTAAGCGATCGAAATGGTTTTTCGACTGAATCTCTCTTAATTTTGAATTGGAAAAATGTCGTTATTTTTCGTGCTATTAAATGTGTTTGATCGTCAAAATGGTCATGTTTCTATCGAATTTTGCCATAAAATTGATTGTTTCGTTCAGATTTCTAGATAAACTGCGAGAAAATTGTAAAAATATAAACAACAGATGGTACTTAAAGCATAGCGACAAAAACAAAACAAGAATAATAATAAAAATAATGTACTTAAGTGGTAATTAATAAATTGTTGGTCCCAAACATAATTTAATGAATATGAAAATTGAGGTGGAAAAACGCTATGTCGTATTGATCAAATGGCAAAATCGAAAAAGGTTAATAAAACAATCGTTTTGAATTCGGTGCAAAATATCACCTTGAAATCTATGTTTCAACACTGTTTTTCGGAATGAAAATCGTTTCAATGTACACAATACACACTCACACACAAACTCGATGACCATCGTCAACTCTGTGAAATTTGCTGACCCATTCACTTTTAATTGCAATTACAACACCTCAACTCATACTCATGCACGCTTCATTTTTATACATGTCGGTCATTTTTCCATTTCATTGGGAAATAAAATGTGAGTTGGATTTCTTTTCTGTATTTCGGTGATCACTTTGAATTTACTTTGAAGAAATGTTGTGAATCACTTTCTTGTTATGTTATTTTTGTTAATTATGCATGCTTACATTGAAATTTATCTTGGCTGATTAAAATACAAATTTCGAAAAAAAATTGAGAGTTATGTTGCGGTTTAATCGTGAAGAGCACAGCGCGCTCGTTCACGTCCAATTTCAATTTAGCGTTAAAACAAAAATGTGAAACACTGACCACTTGGTAAATACGCAACCGAAAACGAATGAATACGAATGAACGGTTGCTCAGAACTTTTAATCCATTATTCAATTTGGCGGTTTGTGTAATATTCTCTCAAAACATTGGCTGCCATATTTAATATGCTTATTATTTTACAGTATCAGTAAGTTGGGTGATAAGGATTAATGAGGAAACGCATGCACATGTAAATGCTCTCCTACTCTAATACGTTCATTATTATTAACTAATTTAAAAGTTGATTTCCTCGTTTTCCAAACAGTGTCCTCAAGAGAGAAAATTGATAGAACATTCATCAAACTAATAAATTAAATCCGAATCTAATTGTTGCTAATGTAATAAATGTCATAATTAAAGAAATAAATTGCATTCGGCTGGTCGTCGTTTACAGTACATATTTAAATCGTCACGATATCAATAGTTTTGGGCATCGATGAAATCTTATAGAAAATGTAATCGAATGCGTGTGTGAAAGAAATTGCATAAAATGATCGTGGATGGCCTAAAAATGAATTTGTTTCGGAGCATAAGCGATCCATTTCATAGGGATGGTAATTTTTATTTCATCGAAATCATTGGTGCTATTTTATCTTTCATGAAAATAAGCAAGTACAACCACTTCGTTTTGCTGATTATCGTTTGATTACGCGCCACCATATACATTTATGGCTGTGTAATGAATATATATACTAAAAGGTATCGTGTATCGCCTCATGCCGCATGTAAATATCGTATGATGGTGTCTCGGCACAATGTCTGACAAACGTCATATGGCGGCTATCCAATGTGGATAAAGCACATCGACAATGTATATACGGCGATCGGACACGATATCGTATGATTTCTCTGCTCTCTCACTTGCTCATTCGCTCACACTGTACACAAACCGCTCGCTTACAATTCATCTTTGATTATCACGCATACATTTAAAAAGAACTAAAATACTCACACTCATACACACTCGTCACTCTTCGAAACGTCACATTTTTGACTGAAGTCAGACCACTTTTTTCTCTCTCTTGTGTATTGTGTATCTCTCTTTCTATCATATCAACCCAAACAAATCGAACGCGATGATCGTGTGTATCATCACGTTTATCGAATTCAACAAATTTCAATGGCATTTTATTGAATGAAACATCAATTATTTTCGTTGAAATATGCTAAATTTTCGATTTGTAAAATTCGTTCTCATGGAACGTAGAAAGAGAAATGGCAAGGGTGATGAGAAAAGAGGAAACAACAATGGAATTCAAACAAACAACAATTCTCAATATTTTTCTCTTCGCACATTCTCTCTCTCTATGCCTAAATGCTATAGCGTCTCCGTATTCAACTCAATTTCCTCGTCACTGTTTTTTTTCTCTTGTTTTGCAATCCTATTGGAATCAATCATTGAAATGGATTCGATTTTGAGACCAAAATTGCATATTCATAATTATCAAATGAAAATTAAGTGAATCTTGGAACCACTTTCTTTTCTTTATTCCGGTTGGTCTCCATCTCACTATTTTCATGATTACATTAATTATGTCAATTGGGGCAAGTGAAGACCATTGAAGAAGAAAAAAATAAACAAAAACCACTGTATCGTTGTGAAATTAAACAAAAAAAAGGAAGAAGAAGAAATTCTTCGCTTAGTAATTAGCGCAAACACAACCGAAAATTAAGAAAATATATTATAATTT